TACTAAGGTTCCTCTGTTACAGTGTAGGAACTGGGCATGTATGTTGTTTGCAGGTCTTACTGTAGAAGCTTTCTACGTAGCAAGCCCGGCTGTGAAGCCCAAGTTACAGTGTAGGAACTGGGCATGTATGTTGTTTGCAGGTCTTACTGTAGAAGCTTTCTACGTAGCAAGCCCGGCTGTGAAGCCCAAGTTACAGTGTAGGAACTGGGCATGTATGTTGTTTGTAGGTCTTACTGTAGAAGCTTTCTACGTAGCAAGCATGGCTGTGAAGCCCAAAGTTACTGTGCAGGAACTGGTTATTGGTTCTTCAGGTTGGGATCGATGGGTTGTCGTCATTTGTTTGACCCTAACAACATCGAAGCCCAGGTTTTCGAGACCTTCTGAAATGTCCTGAGCAGGGGTATTGAAGGGGAGGTGTTGGATTACTGCCTTAATAGGCTTCTGGGATTTTGGGAAGAACGAATAATAGGCTAGGTTATTGTTGGTGAAATGTGACTTGATGGCTTCCAAATCCTCCACGCCTTTCGTAACGACTCTGGTTCTGTTTCTTGTGCTACGGAACTCGAAGTCATCCTTGACCATGTTTTTTAGTTTCTTTTGCAGCTGTATGAGATTCGTGGATGATGTCAATATTATTGGAGGCGGCCTACCTGCTTTGCCAGAGACTGCCTCCTCGGGTGTGGCAGCCTCTGCACTAGTGCTGTCAGTCTCCAGTGATGTTTTCAGGGGGGCCACAAAGTTGTGGGTGGCAACCTCTTTAGGGGATGTGATTTCAGTGGCTGCCAATTTTTCTTTTGAGGTCGGGGCGGCATCACTGGTACCATGCCGCTTGCACCACCGGACTTCTTTGAAGCCGTCCTCCTGGGTTGAAGGGGATTTAGTTTCCTCAGACTGAGAAGTTTGACTGCTCGCCTTCTGCGCGGCCTTTAACTTCAGTAAGGCGACTGTGTATGTGCCATACATGGCACTAAACAGGGTCTTCCCTGTTAGGACCTGGCAGTAGTTCTGGCCGTTTTCGTCCGCCTCGCTGACGATGGATGACCACTTTTCACTGCCACCCACCTAAGCTGGAGTGCACCCTGCCACATCCTCAATGTTGTGGAGTACTTGAAGGAGCTGTTTCAGCTGTGCATCTGTATCAGGAAACTCGCCTACCAGCTGCTGGTACTGTGATTTTAGTGTCTAAAGCTTTGTGGTTCAATGTACCCGGTATCCCGGCAATGGGATGGCAGCCATATTTGGCACCTCTGTTCTTGTCTCGTGTTCACTCACTTCAGTTTTTGAAGAATCACTATCAACAATGAATATAAACAGTAATCCAATGTTACAGACTCTACTCTTCACTGTTCAGCTACAATTTATGTGAACACACACCTAACTGCCAATAATCTCGGGCCACAGTCTCACACACACACATAAGAAGTGGATAAACACTTGAACTAATGAATCAACGACGAATGTTACGTTTTTTTTGTGGGGCATCCTCTCTGACGAGAGGATGGGTCTGTCTTTTTTACGTGCTACTGGCTCTTTCCAGCACAGTCTTTCTTGGGTCCGAGTCCCTTGGAAGTCGCAACCGTATTTTACTGTCTCAGATTTGAGACTTCCCTTTTCGTCGCCTCCTACGACTCGCAGGGTCACGGTGGTTGTATTCGACCCCGCCTCCACACAGGTGTCTGTCTCCGGTTTCGGTTTCTCAATATATAGCCTCAATACGAGCCCCACAGAGAACACTGCTTCCAACAGTTCCTGCATTTGTGTATTCGTTGCCATGGAAGCATGTTTACAGAACTGTTGCTTAGCAATGGCTGGCTGTTTAACTTGCAATAGCCTAGCAACAGATGTTTCTTCTCACTCCACAATTCAGGCTTTCAGCCATGATGTCACAATATCATAAAACATCAAACAAAAGATAAAAAGAATGTCTTCTGAAAATGGCAGCAAGACCATTTTGTAATATTTCTAACAGATCTCAACAGGTGGGGCGGCGGTGGCAGAGGAGAGGCAATATATCACAACAGTTTATGTGAACAGAGTGCAAAACAGCACATCCTGCCTGAATGAGGCTCTTGCCCTGTACAGCAGGAGATACAGAACATAGCAATGTGTGATAAAATCTGTTTCTGAGAACAGAACCACTCACATGGAAATAATCTTGATAAAACATGCAATCCTTTCAAAGACAACTACGTAAACTTTGTCAAGTACCAACACAGAATGGAATTACAAATACATACAAGGGGGTTACCTCTAGGTACTATTCTAGCACTTTCTCAGGACAACTGAGGAAACAAAAACACAAGAAACTTCAACCAGGACAGCCAGAGATCCAGCAACGATTCCAAACTCTATCTCCCAAATACAAGTACACTTTGTTATCCCTACATTGGTCTGCTTTAGTCTTATGGAATACACCGAATAATTCATTTTTCTTTCACAGAGCAATACTATAAAATCCAGTCACTGAAAGTAGCTGCTATTATAACGAATTAAGCAAAAAACTAAATTTAAACCTTTTGATTACACGTCCTGATCCAATTCCTCTCATTCCTTTTGCATCACCTGTCAAGACTTTCAGGAAGTTTGTGGAATTCACAGCCTACAAAGCAGAGAAGAAACATATTGGAAAAACACATGCCACATGTAGTCTCTGATGAGCATGCATGAGTACTGCAAAATATAAGACTGCTTTTCAATGTTTGTAAATATACAGGTTCTGTGTACAAATATTAACAAATTTGTTTTATCATAACAATGCATATATTTTTTACAGCACTGGAACTGTATTGAACTGGGTCTCGACAGGGTTCAATGGAGGGATTTTGTAATTACGAGAATGAAACCTTCAGGGTCCATAAAAACAAGGAATATTTCGATAAATAATATATCAAATACTCAAGAGACCCCCCATACCAGGGTGCCATAAATGTAATTTCACATTTGCTACGGCATATGAGTTAACAAAGACAAGTGTTAAGTATGTTTCTAGCCTTAGTCTAAATGTATTAAAAATGTCATAAACAAGTAATTATTACTGTAGTTCCCTGACCTTCATACAGTGGAACCTCTCTTAACGAGCATAATTCATTTCAGAAGCTTACTTGTAAGGCGAAACACTCGTTAAGTGAAACAATTTTTCCCATATAAATTAATGCAAAATACGATAATACATTCCATGCCGAAAAAATACTCAAAAAAATTTATGTATAACGTTTATTCAAAGAAAATTATATATACACTGTTAAGGAGCGTGAATCATCTCTTGTCACTCGTTATGCGAAACATCGCTCATTAAGCAAGTCATTTTTTTACAATTTGCTTTGCTCGTTATGCGAATTACTTGTTATGAGAGGTGCTCGTTAAGCGAGGTTCCACTCTATTTAACATTCAAGGTTCTAATTACTAAATATATATAAAAAGCAAATTCCATGGCTTCAGTCTGCAAGCATACTATACTGACAGAGCGACCGCTGCTTGTCGGCGAAGTTAGTTCCAACTTTAGTGGATAGAGGGTGCCACGTGGTCAGAGCAACAAATCCCCACAGCCGTTAATTTCAGTTTTCTATCCTGGAGCCGCTATTTCCTTGAAATAGCTCCTCCATTAAATTCACAAGGCTGAGCAGACGCGTTCCAGGAATACTACTTCTCAAAAAATCTGGTAAAGCCGGGAACCGAACCTGGGACATCAGGATCTGTATATCACACAACAATATTTGTCTGAAACACAATCTGAGACTATGGGCAACTGGGAATTGAAGTAACAATACGAAGCAGTTGAATTTTTGTCATTTCCTCCTAGGAACTTAATTCCTTTCAAGCAATTGCTGAACGTAATTTTGTTGATGCCAAAGTTGGATGCATATCAGTTTTAATGGAATGGTAAAGATTACATTATTAACTTTGATAGGAGACTGAGCATAAGTATTTCCTGAACCCATGTGCAAAATGTAAGTTTATGTGGTCATAATAATTGTTTTTGATTTAGAAACAGGTATGTTCCAGGAACAAACCACCCATCAGAGTCTGCGTGAACAATTACACAGTGCTGATCAGCACTTCCCTTCTTCACAGCAGCACATGCTTTATGATAGTGCTGACACGTCTGACCAAGAATAACACGTTTCTTTTTTAGCCCAATGCATCATTTTACTTTATTTCTCTGAAGCTGTTGGCCCTCCATGCTGTAATACAATTTCTTTCCACTAAGAACAGCCTCTTACTATTTTTACAGTTTTAGTTTATAATAAACTTCCTTCAGCTTTTTTTTAAAAACTGTCTCCACTTCTTTGATAGCTGCTAATACATTTTTTAATGTCACAACTTTTACTCGTTGTATTTGTGTGATGACAGATGGCTTTTGGATTTACTGAACACTTATACAGCTCGTGACTACACATCACATATGACTATCATACAAAGACTAGTGTTCTCAGTCATGCTGATTGGTAGTGGCTTCCAATGGTGGAAGTTCCTTTGCTTCTGGGCTCATATCCTTGCCAACCAAATACCCAAACCATTGGCTTCAGCCATTACTCCCTTCAGCTGCTAGCTGCCAAGCTGGACTGACTTCCAACTGCCAACCTCAAACTTCAGCTGCCAATTCTCGACCAACTTACGAGCAGGACTAACTGGCTTCCAATTGCCAAAACAAACTCAAAACTCCATACTGACCCATGTATCATCAGCATGGACCACATAGAAAACACCACTTCCAACAGTTCCTTCACTGCTGCATGCACACATTGCTTAGTGATGGCTCTGGTATTGCTGTGTTTTTATAAAGCTGTTGCTTAGCAATGGTTCTTTCACTGGTCCCTTATTCTGTCAGGCCTCATATCAAATTATACCGCATTCTGATTTTCCAGCAGCAGCAGCATGTTTTGCTACATTTTCAATTGGGCATTTCATATTCCTACTAGACTCTTCAGGGCATGTGGTAGCATAGTGGTTGAGGGGCTATACTACAAGCCAGAAGGTCACGGGTTCAAATACCGATGAGATCATTGGATTTTTTCAGTTGACCTAATCCTTCCAGCCGCACTAGGCCCTGGGGATTACTCAGCCTCTAACACAAAATGAGTACCAGGAATTAATTAAATAATTTTCCTGGGGAGTAAAGCATGGCTGGCGTGTAAGGCGGACAACCTTACCGCCATCTTTGAGCCAACTGTCTAGATAGTGCGGGACCCTCAACGTCTCACAACCCTATGGGCTTTCATGGCCTGGTACAGGGATAGCTTTACTTTTTTTTTTACTAGACTCTTCATGACTGAAAAACTGTATAACTTGTTAACAATATCTTGGCCTTCAATGTGAACAGTATGCCTCGCTGGCAGGTCCCCATGCTCCTATTCAATGTGTTGAGTAACTAAAGTTTGTGTTACTTCAAAAGAAATTACACATGCCTCTTTGAACACATAATGTATAAATCAGTGACTACATCCATGAGTTCGAGTCTGGTGGGGCAAGAATTTTCACTTCTCAATGTCGTCCAGCCCAGCTCTGGGGTTCAAACAAACTACTATACAATGGGTACCAGGGGCTTTCTCCTCGGGCGTAAAGCCCCCAGGGTGTGAATCTGACCACTCGCCTCGAACTAGTGCCAAGGTCAAGATGATGTCGATCTATACATCCACTCCCTATACACCTTTATGGTGTAGTCTTTAATTAATTAGCATAGGGACTCTACCTTTTTGCCTTTTACATCTATTTAAACAAACAATTGTGGCTAAAAGTTGGAGGCAGTAGTTTTAATTTTTGTCCAGAAGTAGATATGTTTAAATTATGTATGCAAATACAATCCCAAACAATAAATTGGGATTAGCTCTATCTAACAGAACCAAATGGGCACATACTCCCCACCGATGGACAGGAACAGATTCAGCTCCTGAATTATCATGTTCTTGTTTTTAGAATAACACACAGACAAAGTCCAGGAAACTAACAACACCAAATGAGCTTTTTTAGTCTTTAGTCTTGAAGAGCCTGTATATCACAGAAAATTAAAAATACAATCATTATGATGAGAAAACCACTTTACCTCTCCAGTGTAATCCTTCAGCACTCCTTTGTACACATCTGATCCATTAGGTTGATTGACTATTATTCCTCTTGTTGGATTCCTACACAAACATAAAACATTAACACTGTTTACATTTACTTTCATTCAAAAATAAAGAATCATCTCTTACAATCATGCAAGAAAAGTGTGCAATAAATCACATGAAATTTAATTATTTCTGGACAGACATCTGACAACTACAGCATATCTCTTATCTCGCACATACATATCCACAGAATATCATTATGTTTCATAAACTATAATATGTAATTAGAATTTCATTACTATTACCACCACGCACACATGCAGTTTATCAAGTTCTGCACTTGTGAAGTGCTAGATGTACCTATGAAGTACATTTCATAATGATACGAGAGTCGTACTGAAAGTCATGAGCAACAATTTTTTGTAAAGTAACATGCTTTATTATTGACCAACCAAATACACCACCTCAATCTACAGACCTTTCTTTATTTTTCCACATAATCGCCACTTCTTTGTACACATTTCTCCCAGCGTTCTGGGAGTTTGAAAATTCCCCTTCTGTAAAATTCCGTTCCAGCCATCCGAAGACACTGACGCACTGCTTTCTGAATTGTCTCCCTTTTCTCAAAATGTTGTCCACGCAGCTGATCCTTCACAAATCCGAAAAGATGGTAATCGGAGGGTGCCAAATCAGGGCTAGATGAGGGGCGTGGAAGAACTTCCCACCCCATCTTTGCAATTGCTTCCAGTGTGATCTTTGTGGTCTTCGGTCAATAACCGTGGGACCCAACGAGCACAAACTTCCTATAGCCCAAGCTTTCAATCATCTCCTGTACTGCACTGTGCCCTATTCCAAGTTTTCGGGCTATTGTGTCCACAGTCACATGTCTGTCATCTTGAATGATCTCATCCGCTCTTTCCTTGTTGCATTCAGTTGAGGCTGTTCGAGGACGACCGCTCCGAGTCTCATCTTCAAGGCTGGTGTTCCCATCTTTAAAATGTTTCACCAATCTTCGAACACTGCTCACACCCATGCACACTGAATTCAGAAAGCAGTGCGTCAGTCTCTTCGGATGGCTGGAATGGAATTTTACAGAAGGGGAATTTTCAAACTCCCAGAACGCTGGGAGAAATGTGTACAAAGAAGTGGCAATTATGTGGAAAAATAAAGAAAGGTCTGTAGATCGAGGTGGTGTATTTGGTTGGTCAATAATAAAGCATGTTACTTTACAAAAAATTGTTGCTCATGACTTTCAGTACGACCTACGTACAATAACAGACAGGAATCCAAACATTCAAATGTTTGCTACTGACTATGCCCCCCCCCCAAGCTGTTAAATTGGCAATATTCTTTGAAATATTCTCACACTGATGTACAAATATGCAAATTTCAACATGGCCATAGTTGCCAGATGTTCAATTCTGACTGCACATAATCCTCTGTGTAGGTTAACTGATCTTAAGCCCTAATCTCCTAACATTTCTACATAAATATAACATATGATACAGGTTCTACTGAAATCTCCATCCTGTCCGTGCCCCCTATCCCATCAACTTCTTAATGCCTGAAGTATCTTTGCAAAACCTGGTATCTATATCATGGTAACTGAGGCCATCTCGGTGGTATAGTGCATAAATGCAGCCTATCAGTCTGTGTGTCAGTACTTGTATCCTCCCTCAGTCAACTGTATCCATCCTTTCTTTTCTAGGCAAAAGTCCGGTAAACACATTCCCATGGCCACAGATACATTCAACAATCGAAGAACTGAAGGACATACAATTTTCTGTGCAGTCAGTGTCTTACCAAAGGACTGTGTGGGTCTATTTCTGTATGCCCCTATCACTGCTACGTAACAACTCAGTAAAGATGTTCCCGCAACAACAAAGAATTGCTGGAGGAGTCATTTTCTATGAAGTCCATGCCATGTCAAAGGAAATCGGGCAACCAGTTCTTCCCAGAACTTCTTGTTTGTATTTACAGTAAATGTCTTTATTAACTAAAAATGTAATAAAATAGGAGGTATGAACATGGGAGACCTAATGGAGCAAGTGTGTTCCTTTCATATTCCTTCATTTCTGTAAACAGCATATGGTACTAATTTCAAATTAATGGTTAACAGGTACACCAAATAGATTCATAATTGTGTGGTATGCAGAAAATACAGTATTTCTGGGGCCAACATGTGGCAACAGAAAAGGATAACAATCATCATTACTACTATGATAGAATGTCTAAAATTCAGAAAACTCAGAATCCCGGAATCACAGAATTATCAGGGGCATGCATCACTAAGAAATATCATGATAAAACGTGTAACTGCGGCAACAGCCATGCCCAAAACAGCTGGAGTACTGTTTAGCTCAGTATTGTCATCAATCCACAAGGCAATACAGTATATGAAAAGCCTGTGAGCTAGCAAAAGTCCATGACAAGGGAACCTGCAACCTAGCAACGGAACCTGTGATGATACAGTACCAGAGAAGCAAAGCAAGAATGGTCTAACAGACTGTCAGAGATTGTGATACAGTCACAGACAAGAATATTCTATGAAGAAAGCAGTCTTCTGGGATTTGGCACCGTGTATATGTGGTGTCAACCGACGTTTCGGAGGAACGTATCGCCTCCATATTCAGGATAGAAGAAAAAGTATAAGAAATCTGCAAGCGACAAGACCGTGAGAACGGTCTCATGGTCTTGTCGCTTGCAGATTTCTTATACTTTTTCTTCTATCCTGAATATGGAGGCGATACGTTCCTCCGAAACGTCGGTTGACACCACATATACACGGTGCCAAATCCCAGAAGACTGCTTTCTTCATAGTCACCGCCGTGAAAGCCTCAAATCTTACAAGAATATTCTATACCACTTAGAATCCAGTTCCAACCTGAACCCATGATGTAGTCACTATAAAGTGACACCAGTGTCAGAAGTGGGATTGTTGGACTGTCAACTGTAAGTGGAATAATGAACCTTCGGGTTCCATAAAATGCTGGGAAATTCTTGAGTAGCTGCACAATTCGTGGTTCGTGCAGAAGGGCCCAGCTCCATGAGTAAGTAACTACGTAAGTGGAATAAATGGGACAACTGATCACGGATTGACTTGAATGTCTGTTAAACGTGTTTGGACAGATAAAAGATGAAATGAGGGATGACCAAGAGCATATGGGGGCTGCCATAAGTGCCAATAAAGAAATGATAGATGCTGATCAGGTACAGGTAAAGGCCAAAATGAGGGCCAGCCAAGAAAATATGGAGGCCACTATAACAGCCACTCAAGAAAAAATGAAGGCCACCATAAACATTGGTTAAGAAAATGTTTCGGCCATAATAATTGTCAACTGCTCTGTCCAGATCAAATTTAAAGAAACAATTCACAAGCTGGTTTTAGGCATTCTGGCATCTGTTGACCAGTGGACCCATACCCTCTGTAAGGAATTTGACAGCGAGATAAAAGGGACACAACTAGACACAGAAGTGACAAATATGCTGGCAGAAGGCACACGCTGGGAGCACAAGACAAAACAGGCAGATGTTGAAGTCCAACCTTATATGAAGCATGCCCTGGCTGCTTTACCCCCTGCGAAAGAGGCCCCTGGTACCAATTGGATAGGAGTGGGGAATGGAGGTGTGCATTCTTAATTCATTAAAGACTGGCGATTTAAATATTAAAATCACCCTGGGGACCGGCATTATTAAACCTACGATCCTAACTTGTGCACTGTTCACTTTAAAAATTAATATAAAATCTCCTAATTAATTTTATGAACTAAAATTTCTGGAGAACACTTACCAATGCTGCTAGAAGTGCTTTGAGAGTGTGGTATTTCTGGAAACATTCCCCTTTGTGAAGTGGCATTACACACTTGCAAATGTAGTCATAGTCCTTTTTTTGTGAACTGCGCAAACACGGCATTGCCTAGAAGGATGCTTCCCCTTGGAATGTTCACGCTTCACAATTTTCATGAGGGTATGTTTCCGCATATCACCCGAGAGTCACCCAGGGGGGTCCACATGAGGACTGCGTGGGGTGGGAGTTGATGGGCCTGGTCGCACTAAGTGTGTGTCTGACTCTGGTTCTGCCGCCACCATCTGGTCTGTAGCCCAGGCCTTTGCCACATTCATCAGATATGCTTTGTATTTCAATTTTGAATCAGGGTTTAGACTTTTGTGATTTTTTGGTGTCCCCACAATAGTCCTACCCGCATTTTCATCGGAGCTACTGTCACTTTTACTGTCTGAGTCACCATCACTATGCGTCTCACAAGGCACGTAAGCTAGCTCATTGGAGATGAATTTGTCCTTGATCCATACTCCACCACTAACTACTGGCTGATACACAACTTGAAGACAGGCAAAGCATTTTCCTTTACTGGGGGTTAAGAAAATAGCTAGGTCATGTTACTGAATACTAAGCAAACATTCTCGAGGTTTATTGCTCAGTAGCTATTGAACTGCATGGCAAAAGTGCAAGGTATAGTGTGTTGCAACCTAACGTGTCCTAAAATCATGATATCAGGCGACCGGTCCCCCACGTTTAAAAGCGAAAAGCATGATATCATGCAACTGGTTTTCAATGTGTTAACCTCAGCATTAGATGGAGGTGAGTGGTCACCTTCACACCCTGTCAACTTTAACCTCAGAGAAAGAGCCCTTGGTGCATACCACACAGGATGCTGTGTAGCCCTAGGCCCCATAACTGGTCTAGACAATGCGGATAAGAGAAAAATCTCTGGATCCTGCCAGGAATAAAACCTTATTCCCTCGTCTTCCTGTTAGTAGCCTAGTCACTATATCAACTGAGCTATCTGAGCTCTGGATACATATAAATGTGAAAGATGTTTCTTCATACGCAATGAAGTATCACTGGGACACAGAAATACAGAGTTACATGGTTGGTATCAATACCAATGCTCATAGCACTTACTGGACTATCGCCACAACAGTGTGTCAGGGAAGGTGCAAACAAAACTGGAAACAACTTGTGCTGTCTGAAAGTATGCCAAGGTAATAAAATCATCAAGTTCTAAGATACCTACATTTCATTATATGCTATATCATCATACATCATGACAATAATATTTTCATCCGGAATACCATTCTTGTGAAGGATTTGATAGGCATGGCAAACATCAGCCTGAAAACAAAATTCAACAAACTAAGTAAAGAAGCTTATATACAATGAGAATTCTTATTATGAGCTTCAGTCATAAATATACCAAACTGTAGCTTCAATAAAGTATTTCACCACCAAACTATGATTTATGACATCTGTATGTGAGTATGGCACCCATTAACAACAAATCAGAAGTTGTGGGTTGTACATTCATTACATCTTGGGCATGGTCATCTTACAAATCTCTGGCCTGTATGAAAGAGGGAAGACAAAAAAAGTAGAGAAAAGACAGTGAATTCAGACACTGATAGCAGAAGGAACAGCAGTGACTGTGTATCTATGGGTAAGCATGGTTTCACTTACAGGGATACATAAATATGCAAAATAATCGCTATCACAGATCACAGAATCCACATCTAACCAATGGAGTCCCACTCCATCCAGTAAAAGTTGGTGTCTGATGTGCTGTAGGTGCAAGGAGGATTGTTGTACCTGTGTTTTTTAATGAAACAATTAATTGTGTAGGATATCTGATATCTAGGTGTAGAGGGACAGCATTTCCAACACCTCCTCTGATCTGTGAATTGTAACTACTTCATTCCTAATGTTTCTGACCATAAAGCCAATCATCGGAAAAATTCATATGCACTTTACAGCTGTCAGTACACTGGTCACCGTGAAGCACAGAGCTGCGGAACCAGCCAACAAAATAAAAATTCTCCTTGTATATAGAATAAGTAAGTATGCTCAACTCATGTTCATTAAGATCACATGAAATCCTTCCAGGAAACTAGGCAACAGCACCATAAACAAAACTACAATATGTAAAAGCATACCAATATAGAACAACAAATATGAACATGACCAACAAGTCCTCCAGAGAATGTCTAAAAGCATAAGTACACACACAAAGAAATTACTATAAAAACAAGTAACACAACTGCATCCTCACAATATATTCTTAATTTTTCTGGATATATCACCAAAACAACAGGATAACATGAGGCCACTGACATTAACAATGCATACTCACACAATATTCAACATTATACCAAACAATAAAAAATTTGAAACACCTCCTTTTCACCCAACATAACAAACAAGCACCCATTAGCACCAAAAATGTGCACTCATATTACACACATGTCCACATACATGGCAAAGCTTGAAAGTGTATCATACATATATGCACCATTCCCCCCTACTCCATTCCAAACATAAAAAACACCTAATAGGATTCTTTTAGAAAAATAACAATAATTTAAAATAAGCTTCATTGTTTCTATAAGTATTTCAATATTTTTAAACACTGTAATCCTACGTAAAAACTTTTAAATGACAAGACTAACAGCAATGGATCCACTGATCCATTTCAACACGCAGTCCATTAACAAATGTAGATGCGTTTTACTATTTACAAAAGACTGATGATGGTCATAAATGACTGAAACATGTAGTAAAAAATAACATTCTATTAAACTAACTGATTTCATTGACATTCAAGCCTATCAGTTATTTACTGAAAGTGTAGAAATGCTGTGACTGATGGACAAATTCACATATTATTAAGGTATTATTTTCTGAACAATTACAAAACTCTACAGTCCTGAAATTTGGGACACAGGTATTTATGTGTTTTCTGTATCCGCTGACATTATCTCACACATAAGTCATTAAATGATAAAAGTTTTCTATCAAAATGTTGAGAAAATCATTATCTGAGAAGAAATTACATTACAATGGAAAAAGTCATACAGAAATCCCATAAGGTCGCCGGTTCAATTCCCAATGAGATTAGAATTTTTAATTGACCTAATCCTTCTAGCCGCACTATGGCCCTGGTGTCGACTCAGTCTCTAATAGAAATGAGTACCAGGAATCTTCCTGGAAGGTAAAGGGCAGCTGGTGTATAAGGCTGACAACCTCACTGCCATCTGTGAGCTGACTATCTAGAAAATGTTGGAGCTTCAACAACTCACAACCCAATGGGCTTCCACAGCCTGTTACAGGGACAGAGTTACTGTTACCTGTGTACCAAATTTAAGAACTGTAGTTTTTAGCAGTTCAGAAGAACATGTTTTAATGTGACAAAATTTACACGGCAGAAATTGGGCTTACCACCTCCGCTTAAAGTCAGTAAAATTACAACCAGTTATCTGAAAATAGGAATACAGTCCACTCTCAAAATGATGTGTTCATCAAATACACATCCAATAACGTTCAATACAACACTGATGTAATAAAACAATGTCACAAACTTTTAGAGAGTACCGAATGACATGACTAAAATGCATCAGTTCAAACATCACAGTTCAAGTACAACTCCATTTCGAGAACTGATAACCTTGAAATGCTGAAACCGTTTATAAACTTCACAAGATCAGAATTAAATATACCTGATGTCTATAGTTGTCATAGCCACTAGACCCAGCCACTAAAAGGCCCCAAATCTTTCCTCCATTTTCAAGCTGATACCCACATGCTGAGCCCAGAACCATCAGCGATGATACCAGCATTATTAGACCTCTAGACATCTTCAGAGCCTGTGTGACACAAACATCTTCATAATACATACAAAATATTGAATTTAAAAAACAGGAATAATTAAATTCTGGATTCAGGTTCTAATAGAAGAAGGTGAGTTTGAAGAGAGAAGAGAAGCTTCAGGTATGGAGGGTAGTTGTAAAAATGTTGGCTAAATCATCACAGAGAGCTGAAGAAAGGTTGTCATTCAACTTGGGGGAATACGAGACCAATAACTCTCCCCACAAAAAAGTTTGCATGTTAAGAAATGTCATAAAAGGCCTTGGACTTGCTTAGATGAATTCTTCAGTACTACCAAAGCAATACAGATTATAGGCTGGATTCAACTTCCTCAAGACAGGATCCCACAGTTTGCTCCATAAAAGATGGGGAATTTTATCAAGTGCCTTATCAGCTTTTCAAGACCCTACACCACTGAATCAGTTATTTAGTTAGTTAGTTTGTTTGTTTGTTTGCTTGCATGTCTCTCTGTCAATCAGTCATCTGGTTGGTCCGTTGGATGGCCAGTCAAGTTGGTCGGATGGTCTGTCGGCCAGCCACCCAGCCAATGTTTTTTCACGTAAATTTTGTAAGTTCTTAACGCTGGAAAAAATCCTGATCAAGCCTCACTCTAGTCTGTGAAAATACTGTCACGTGTCCGGAGTACGCCTGACAAAAATAACGGGATCTAGTTTGGATGAGTGGATTTATTAGCACTTTGGTTACAAATTCTCTTAATTACAATTAATGCAGTGCTATCACTGATTTACACAATTTACAGTTCACTGCTGTATATGCACTAGGATTCTCTGCCTTCACTAGTCATCTCCTGGCAAACAGATCTCAAAATAGAAACTATCACATCAAATCACTATGGAGTCTTCTTGTTATTTCATCTTCAATCACTCTATACTCCCGTCTTAATCTGCACTCAATTAATCGTCACAATTCACTAAGGTCATATTCAGATGGAAGTAACTATGACCCATTAAGATCATTTGTTACAGGTACAAATGATGCTATCCTCAATAAGGTTGGAGGAACTATGGTTGTCTCTCTGATGGGGGCGCATCATGGACCAGACAGGGCATTGTGACACAGCTTTGGGACACCTCCTCGTGGTCCCACTGGGCAGCGTCAGTCTCGGGGTGTGAATCAGTATGACCACCTGGGACTGGTGACTATGTTCTCATAAAGGCAACGGTGTCTAATGACTGGAGCCTCACATGCAGTGGCATTAAGACTTCCAAGTATTACTACATTTTGCCTGGAACGAATGGGGGAGAGCAGTAGTATGCAGGTAGCTTCGGCGACTTGAGGGGTCTCCCTAGAGTACCATTAACGTGCTGCAAGCCTTCAGGCTGAACACTTTAGAACGGTTTAACCAACCCATGTGGCAGGGTGAGAATGTGGGGTGGCTTGCCAACCACAGAGGTGATCCTTTCATGCAGCTTACTCTGGTCATAACAGCATGGCTAGCTAGTACTGCACCCTCACTGGTCACCTACGATACGCCCCAAAACGTGCAATTTCGGTCCTGGAGGCTCGTGAGACTTTGCTCTCAACAGGATAAAAACACCTAAGCGAAGGTGTGAGGCATCGTGCCAAGGGCTGTATGGCACTGGGGTGAAATTTAGCCAGTGCCATGAAAGATCCCCTTGGGGCACCAGGCAGCACCCTGTTGTGTTTATGCCTTCCACCTGCATGGGGCGCTGAGGGTGGTGACTTCTCAAATCCCCATGACTCGCTGAGCCATTATGGAAACCAAAAGGAAACAAAAATGCAAGGTCCTGTATCTATGTCAGGAATCATACAATTAATGCCTTACCTTTGCTGTAGTTCTGTTCTAGGGATGCAACAATGGTGAGGATAACATACACACACAGCGGAGGCTGTAAGGAGCTGATTATTTCTTCAGCCTACCTTCCATATGAATATGAATCAGATGAACCATCACCAGTCAAGGAAGTGAGGAATATCACTGACTACTGACACTACTACTACTGTAATCTACTGTACTACTGTAAACTATTGTAAACAATTATAAGTATTGTAACTTTATTCTCTTATTGTAATCAGCCAATGTACAGTAACTGACTTGTCCTATATCATGTAATAATGATCTACAGAGATGAAATAAATAAATACAAAAACACAGCAAGAAGAAGAAACTCATCACTGGGTGTGATACCAATGCACACCACAATCTGTGGGAGAGCAGTGGCACCAATCCACGAGGAGAAGGCTTCATGGAATTTCTGTCGATATGACGATAGAGTTTCATGTAGAAACATATTTAAAGAGTTAAATATTTTATCAATTGCATCACAATATATATTTTCATTGTTTGTATATGTATTGCAAAATAAAGTTCTTTTTTCCATCAAACACTGATTCTCATACTATTGATACTAGACAAAGATTTGTATCTACCTCAAGATAATTTAACTATTTATCAAAAAGGAGTTTATTATGCAGGTATAAAAATATTTAATAAATTGACCAGAGAGATCAAGAACAAATCTAATAATTTTAAAACTTTTAAGGTTGTATTAAGGCATCTCTTGAACACTCATATGTTTTATACTGTGGATGAATATCTAAATAGATAACTTGTATTATTGTTGTATTCACTGTACCGTCTAGTTGTATACTAACTATGTATATGTATTCTATGATCTATATTATTTTATGACATGTTCTATATCCCTCTTTGGATCTCTTGAACTTACAATAAATACAAATACAATTGGGTAAACATAACAGACTTCAACTAATATGGGTGCCAGATCGTGAGGGTATTGCAGGGAATGAAACTGCAGATCAGCTGGCAAGAACAGGAACTGAACAGCCGTTCATAGGACCTGAACCAGCTTGCCGCATCTCAGTAGGAGAGTACTGCTGGGAATGAAATGGCAGATCAGCTGGCAAGAACAGGAACTTAACAGCCATTCATAGGACCTGAACCAGCTTGCGGCATCTCAGTAGGAGAGTACTGCTGGGAATGAAATGGCAGATCAGCTGGTAAGAACAGGAACTTAACAGCCATTCATAGGACCTGAACCAGCTTGCTGCATCTCAGTAGGAGGGTATTGCAGGGAATGAAACTGCAGATCAGCTGGCAAGAACAGGAACTGAACAGCCGTTCATAGGACCTGAACCAGCTTGCGGCATCTCAGTAGGAGAGTATTGTAGGGAATGAAACCGCAGATCTGCTGACAAGAATAGGATCTGTACAGCCATTCATAGGACCTGAACTAGCTTGCGGCATCTCAGTAGGAGAGGATTGCTGGGAATGAAACCGCAGATCAGCTGGCAAGAACAGGATCTGAACATCCATTCATAGGACCTGAACCAGCGTGTGGCATCTCAGTAGGAGAGTATTGCAGGGAATGAAACCGCAGATCAGCTGGAAAGAACACGATCTGAACAGCCGTTCATTGGACCTGAACCAGCTTGCAGCATCTCAACTGGAGTTGCGAAGAAAGCGATCAGGGACTGGACCAACAGAAATCACAAAAAGAAACACTGCGAATCCACAACTGGACTCAAACAGGCAAAGGGATTTATATCAGGACCCTCTGCCAGAAGAACAAAGGGTCTGTTTAAATTAAATAGAGATCAACTAAGATGGGTTTTACAGGACTCTCAGAGGGGACTGTTAAGGTGCTGGCTGATCCTAAAGTTCTGCGCCGGGTAGAACCCGTGACAGACACTGCATCTTCTAACTCGGTCTCTGAGGAGGAAGGGGATGAGATACCCAGGCCCCCAGACGACCAAAGCAAAACGGATCAGGGAACACCTTCACACAGAATCCAGTCTGAGGGACATAAGATGGAAACTGACCCCTCCTCAATTGGAAGAGATCATGAAATTTCTTCAGATCAACCTACACCACAGATGAAGCTGCCATGGCAGCTCTGTGCCAACAGCTAGCTGAGGGTAGGCCAGATATAGCACTTATTCAGGAACCTTGGATATACAAGGGTCAAATAAGGGGCTTAACTAATACAGGGGGAACAGTTTACTCTGTTGTACCCTGTAATAATGCAATATCTTGTGTTTATACCAGGAATCATGTTAATGCCTTGCCTTTGCTGGAGCTCTGTTCTAGGGATACAACAGCGGTAAGGATAACATACTCATATTGAGAAGGCAGCAAGGAGCTGATTGTTGCTTCAGTCTACCTTCCATACGACTCGGATGAACCACCACCAACTAAGGAGATGAGGGACATCATAGACTACTGCTTTAGCAGGAAGAAGCAACTCATCATTGGGTGTGATGCCAATGTGCACATCTTGTGGGGGAGCACCGGCACTAACCCAAGAGAGAGCCTTATGGAATTTCTGGTGAGTTAGAACCTGAATATTCTAAACCATGTTAACGAACCTACCTTTGTGGTTTGCAATAGGAAGGTGGTTATTGATTTGACACTAGGGACAAATAACATATGAAACCTGGTAAGTAATTGGCATGTATCTGATGAGCCATCTTTATCAGACCACAGATATATATGCTTTAAAATAGGTAATATTACAGTAGATCAAGCTACTTACAGGAATCCTAAGAGAACCAACTGGGAGTCTTACAAAAACGACTTAAAGGTAAATCTAGAGACCATCTCGCGTAATATACGCACAATAAAAGATGTTGATCGGTCCGTTGACCAGTTGCAATGGGCTATTATCTCAACCTTCAACCAGAATTGTCCGGATAAGACCACTCACGGACCAAGGAGATTGCCTTGGTGGAATAAACGGCTGAGTGGGCTTAGAATCAAAATAAGAAGGCTGTTCAATACAGCTAAAAGAACAGGGCAGTGGGACACCTACAAGGAAGCCCTTACCTGTTACAACAAAGAAATAAGGAAAGCCAAGTGATCCTCATGGAGGAGACATTGCCAGGAGATCAATGATGTACCAGGCCGTGCCAGACTCATGAGAATCATGGCAAAACAGGCGACCAACAAGGTCAGCATAATTAAGCTGCCTAACGGACAGTATACTCATACAGGAAGGGAAACACTGAATGAATTATTCAGGGTTCACTTTCCTGATTCAAAATTGATTGACAATTTGGATGATGGACAGGGTCAGCAAAACCTGGACACCTGCCAAAGCAAGATGAACAGGGTAGATTGGAACCTGGCCAAAGTCATAATTAATCAATCAAAAATCAGATGGGCATTGAACACTTTTAGACCATTTAAATCAGCAGGAACAAATGGAATTGTACAGGGACTTTTGCAGCATGGGGCGGAACTTTTAGTTCCACACCCATGTCGCATATATAGAGCTTGCATGGCATATGGATTCATCCCCATAGCCTGGAGGCAAGTTAAGGTGTCGTTTATTCCAAAGCCCAGGAAACTTGATTATACCGAGGCTAAGGCTCATCGTCCTATCAGCCTGTCATCTTTCTTGTTAAAAACGATGGAGAAACTGGTAGATAGGCATGTCAGGGACGGGGTATTGAGGACATATCCTCTACACCGAAACCAACATGCCTACCAAACAGGTAAATCTACCGAAAGTGCACTACACAATGTGGTAACACGCATAGAAAGTGCGATTGAACACAAGGATATTGCCCTAGGAGCATTCCTTGACATAGAGGGAGCTTCTGATAGAACCTCATTTGATATAATCAAACAGGCTGCTGGAAGGCATGGCATAGAGCCTGCAATATGTAGATGGATCAATGCTATGCTCGAAAGCAGAATCATAGCTGCTACATTATTAGGAGAAACCCTGGGGGCGTCCACATCTAGGGGATGTCCGCAAGGGGGCGTACTTTCGCCTCTGCTGTGGAGTCTGGTCATCGATGATCTCCTGTGGGGACTTAATGATGATGGGTATTGTACAGTAGGATATGCTGATGACATAGCAATCCTCATAAATGGAAAATTCCTTTCGACTGTATCAGAGTGTCTGCAAACAGCTCTGTACATGGTCCAACGATGGTGTGAGAGAACAGATCTTTCCATCAATCCCAATAAGACAGTAATTATACCGTTTACTAGGAAGAGAAATATAAAGGGTCTTAAGGAACCGACTCTCTTCAATAAGACGATCCAGCTATCCAGCGATGTCAAGTACCTTGGTCTAGAATTAGACAAGGGACTTACATGGAAAAGGCAGCTGGACAAAGTCATTAACAAAGCTTATAAGGCTTTTCGGACATGCAGAAGCATGTTTGGTAAAACTTGGGGACTGCAGCCACACGCTATACACTGGATATATACTGCAGTTGTGAGACCCATAATTATTTATGGTGCCACAGTATGGTGGCCCAGAGTTAAACTCAAGACAAGCAAGACAGAACTTAGCAAATTGCAAAGGTTTGCTTGCTTAGGTATCACAGGAGTATTTCGAACATCTCCAACAGCTGCACTGGAGACACTCTCTGGACTCCCCCACTGCATTTACAGTTGGAGGCAGAGGCCAGGGCAGGAATCTACTGTCTCCAGACCAGTGAACAATGGAAACCTAGATCCGATGGTTTCGGCCATGCATACATAACTCAGGACATGAAAAAGAACCCATATTACAAATGGGGTCTGACAAAATGATACTGAGACATGCATATGAAAAACCCTTCACTGTCAGATTTCCTGACAGGAGTAAATGGGAAGACGGGTTTCAGCCCGATAGAAAAGGGGGACTGTTCTGGTATACAGATGGTTCCAAGATAAATAAGGGCACTGGAGCTGGTGTGTACTGCTATGGCACGAGGCAGAAACTTAGTTTCAGCTTTGGGCAGTACATGACAGTATTCCAGGCAGAAGTATGTGCCATTAAGGCACGTATTATGGAGAATTTAGATAGGAACTATAGAAATAGCATCATCTACATTCTATCTGACAGCCAAGCTGCACTTAAAGCGCTTGACAAACACCAGATCAATTCAAAATTTGTCTGGGATTGCCACCAAACCCTTATGGAACTGGCCAAACATAACAGGGTACAACTGATATGGGTGCCAGGGCATGAGGGTATTGTTGGAAATGAAACAGCAGACCAATTGGAGCTGAACATCCGTTCATAGGACCTGAACCAGCCTGTGGCATCTCTATAGGAGTTGCCAAACAGGCAATCAGGGACTGGACTAACATAAAACATAAGAAATACTGGGGCTCCATAACTGGACTCAGGCAAGCAAAGGGACTCATATGAGGACCTTCCAGTAAAAGAGCGAAGGAACTGTTGAAGGTAAACAGGAACCAGCTACGATGGGTGGTAGGACTACTTACAGGACACTGTCACCTCAAAGGACACCTGTTCAAACTGGGACTAAGTGATAGTCCCACTTGTGAGAGGTGTCAGACAGAAAACGAAACAGCTACACATATCCTGTGTGAATGTGAGGCTTTAGCTTATTTAAGACTATGTCACTTGGGTCAATACTTTATGGAACCAAGTGACTATTTTGATGGCCCCCATGTCTAAAATCCTGCGCTTCATCCAAAGCATGGGGTTCCTGAGGGAATAATTAAAAAAAGGGGTAGCACAATACACCACTGAGGTCGCGGTGCAAGGGCCGAAAAGGCCTACCCCTCACACATTCATTCATTCAACTAAGATGGGTGGTAAGATTACTTACTGGACACTGCTACCTAAAAGGACACATTTTCAAACTGGGACTGACAGATGACCCAACCTGTGAAAGGTAACTACAGGAAAACGAATCAGTCACACATATCCTATGTGGTTGTGAGGCCATAGCTTACTCAAGAATTCATCACCTGGGTCACTTCTTCATGGAATCAAGTGACATTTATGATGCCCCCATAAATAAAGCCCTACATCTCATTTGAAGTGTAGGATTAATAAAGGGTTAATCCAAAGGCAAAGCACAATAGATCATTGAAGGTCACAGTGCGAGGGCTGGATTTTATGGCCCAATCCTTACACACATACATATATGCAGTATATATTAGCCACAAATCTATTCTCCATTTTCTTTTTAAGTTCCAGCTACCAGGCTGATGGTAAGAGAGTCAAGAAATTTGGTTCAAGAAAAAATCTACATTATTTTCACATTAATTTTTCTGTGGACCCTTGCTTAGGGCTATGCAATAATTTGTAAAGCTGAAACTAAAAAAAAACGTAAGCATGCAAATCGCTCTCACATAACTTTAAAAATCCTTGTTGCCATGATATATTTTATTTCTTAAAGTTGATTCATGTATATATGCAACTTTAATGGACAATGAACCACTAACAATACACACTACCTACACTCAACTTATCAATGTCTGTCATGACACCTTGCGCTATTTGCATGAGGCCTTATTATATATTTTGTTGGACCAAGGATGTATGATGTGTAGTCATCATGAATTTGTAATGTGTGACATATTTTATATCCAGCCCTACGGGGAGATGATTGGATCCATGAAGTGAATATGAATATAAATGTAAATGTAAATCACAACAAATGTATCAAAATTCAATGTTTTCTTCCGGTGTGAAATCAAGTACTATATATTGGTAAAAATGCTATGCACATATAATCCTGTCTTACACTGATCAGATCATGATAACTGTGCTAGCTGAAGATGTAAGCAATGCTTGAATTTATCTTAAATATGTGCCAAAATGGGGTGCGTATTTTTAAAAATATTGTGCTAGAATTCAGGATCCTAGATGAAATGGGACCAGCGATCAAAGTATGAACTCACAAATCCAAACATAAACTTCTGCATTACACAGCTTTTTTTCAGTTCACATTAATTAGAAAATACTGCATCCTGTGAAAGTTTTAATTATCCCCATTAATAATAATAATAATAATAATAATAATAATAATAATATCTGGCGACAAATTCACCAGAGGGAGTAACTGGTGGAAAATATGAGTTTTGTTTGAGGACACTACTCCAGCACACACTACTATATCTTTTACAAATGGATTAAAATTACAGCTCCTTTCCTTATTATGAAAATACGTTCTCTTCAACATTTAACTCTACTTTCACATTTTACAGTAAAAATAATATCTACCTTGTCACTTAATTATTCTTTGTATATCAGAAGTGGTAGGTTTGAACGAATTCATACTAATGCACAACATTACATATCAACTTTTAAATTATGGGAATTTCAACACCAAATTCTCACCTTAATTTCGTCCATACTTAACTGTTCATTCAGTTATAACTATTAGCTCCTTCAGCACTAGTTGACAATTGCTGTACTAGTCCTGCAGACTCTTACAGCAAAACAGATCCCACATAAAAAGCCGGTACTAAATTCTTCTACTGGACTTCCCCGCTCTCAAGGTCCAAGTTGAATACTTCCCTGTCAATGACACAATGCAGGAGGAAAAATCACACTTTATTCCCCACCACAAAACATGACCTCGATTCATGCAGGGTTATGGGCGTTATAGTCGATCACATGTCCTTGACGGTATAGTCTTTCATGAAAAAATAAGTTTATATATAGCCGTTAAGGAAGAATGTGTGTCGGAATGCGTAAAATGGCATATCGTTTGTTGAAGTATGTACGAAATACGTCTGGCTTTCCTGTACAGTTTGTAGACATGGGCCTAATATAAGAGTACTAAACGTTTGGAACGAAAATCATGTTGGACTTTTCAGATAAAATGTGTATGCGTATTCCCTTCCCCATTCCATCATTTTTACCAGATGCTGTTGGCACTAAAATAGACATTGTCGAAGGCAATGTTTGCATATAACATGTAGGCTGCAAACAACGTGGGTTTGTTGTAACAGTGGGACTCATTTAAATGAGTAGCTGGCCGAAAAAAAAAATGGCCTCATAATTTCAGGGGATCCCTTCGTAGGTTAAGTGAGAAATGCTTATTTATTCGCGGTGATGCAGCAGGTTCCACGTCACTGCAGTTATGTGTAATATGCGTAGACTAGGTAGAAAATTTTTGTAAAATATTTATGGGATGCATATTGGTGACAATATTAGATCATGTAAGTCTAGTGTAGTTTACGTTAGCTTGGTCATACTTATTCAAATGTGGTGCAACGAACTGTGTTGAACGTAATATAATTTAGTATTTTATTAATATTTCGACCCATATTCACTTATATATTAAAATTTACGCAGCTACTACCAAATCCTGCACCATTATCACATAAGAAATAATAAATCGGCGTTAAGAGTTGGTTTGGTTGGTGGTGAAGAAGCATAAGAAGAAAAAATTTCTAACCACATAATTTAATGCAAGGTACAGAATTATAGCTTAGAGTGAGTAGACTACAAAATGCAGAAAAAATACGACTCCTATCTATTCGTATATGAAATTACGGTATATCAACAAATGCTCCACAGAACATTTATGTAAGAGAAGCTGGGACAGCTCAGTTAGAGCGGTCAGAGCAGTGGCTGGGCTCATGGCTGGACACCCATCAAATCAACTTTCAATTTCTGGTGGTGGCAGAGATTTTCTCTTCTCCGCAGTGTCCAGACTACCCCTAAGGTCCATCCATCCTCATCTACAAAGCATAGTATGGGCACTTTCCTGTAGGCAAAGCATTCGGAGTGTGAAGCCGACCTGTCACCTTCATCTACTGTACAAGATTCTAATCTTGAGACTTGGGGAGTGAGCAAGCAGGGTGGAGGAGGAAAAGATCAAAGAAGGGAGGGAAACAAAAAAGAATAAGTTGTATAGTTTCATATTCAATTTCATATTCGAAAACCCCATTATTAGCCATCATCAAAAGGCAAAGCCAGCACTGCAAAGGAAAGAGTTTTAACATGCAATAAACACATGTTGTCCAGGAGGGATTTCTACCATTAGAAATCAAGATTGATTACAATAATAATGCAATTAAACTAAATTAGGTTGTAAAATTATTGACAATATCAGTACAAATAATTGAAAGTTCTTATAGCATGGGTATGTGAAATCTGGTGGTGGCTCTGTTTTCTTGCTATAAGGTAAGGTATGTAAAGTTGTCCTTATGCTTAATGAATTAAGCACTATGCTATGAAGACATATGGGGGAGTGGGGGTATAACTCCACCATTCTTAACCTCAGCATTAGATGAAGCTGAGTAGTAAGCTTCACTCCCCTGCCACATTACCCCTGGCTCCCATTGGATAGGAGGCTGGGTGGACTCCAGAGCCAGTCTGGACACTGCACTGTACTGCACTGCCAGGAATAGAATGCGGGCCATCTGGCCTGTAGTCCATCGCTATACCAACTAAGCTCTTGGTATATAAAACACTTTCTCATGGGCCATATGTTTGTCTGTAATGCCGTGTGTTCCAGAGGACAATTGTAGTGTAGCATTGGTTCTCAGCACATTGGCCACTAGTGTACTAGTGTGCATGTTAGCCACTATAGAGTAAGTAGCGACTTTTTTCATTCAGAGAGTAGTTACTGATCCAGACTGTATGCTGCTCCTTTAGTGCTTCAGACTTTCTGCATTCTTTGCGAGTGTCAAGATTAGAGTCTCATGCAGTAGTGCCATAGTTAACAATCCAAGAAGCTATCTCCCGACTTCTCTATGTGTCCTCATTAAGTGGTGATTAATGATGCAGAAAGAAAACTTTGCCTTTACCTGTGTAGCCTCCCCTATCAACTTTTGAATACCTGAACAGTCTTTATGAAACTTGGTATGTACATCATGAACACTGAGCCCATTTCAAAGACATACTTCAATGAACTCCCCCAATTAGTCTGTGTATTTGTGTGTATCCCTCCATTCAGTTGTAGGTAAGGACTCAGAAGGTGTGAAGATGTTCAGGTTGAGCTCAGGTCAAAAACCAGGCCTTTATACTTGTATTGGTGCTGAAACTTTTGTTCCTTACTGCCAGTAGTCTTTGTAGCAATATGAGCTATTCAAGTTTGTTTATGAATATTGTCACGTCTCCTTCGGTATCCCATTTCTGAGACCGGTTTGTCATGTATCCTGGTAGCATGCAAGAAATGATGGGTTCTGGATTAGATGAAGCTCTTTATTGGATAAGTTTACAATTGCAATTACAATCACTTAGAAATAACGTTTTCCATACGATGCCACCTGGCTAGTCTGTCATCTCTCGTGTTTCATCTTCAGGTTCTTAGCTCAGCTGGTTTCTTCTGCTCTCAGCTCTGCTCTGTTCGCCTCTGTTCTGTTGTCAAGTCAAAGTCAATGTCACATTGCGACTTACAGTCAGTCAGTCATAGTCAGTAAGTCTTGGTGTCGAGCACCCTCCTGGGGCTCATGACCAGATATTTATTACTGTTTGATAGTTAGGTCTTGTTCTTCTGGGGCGCCCTCTCTGATGAGAGGATGGGTATGTCTTCTGTACGCGCTGCTGGCCCTTGCCAGCGCAGTCTTTCTCAGGTCCAAGTCCCTTGTGACTCGCGACCATATTTTACTCTCAGATTCAAGACTTCCCTTTTCGTCGCCTCCTATGACTTGCAGGGTCATGGTGGAGTGTTCTGTACTTTTTGTTCTGGTCTGCTATATAACTGAAAGTTGGATGGTCTAGAACACACCTTGTTCAAGGGTTCCGTTTCGGGTGTTCCATGCAACTGTAGCTAATATATTCGCTACCGTGGTCACTGCACTATTCTTGGTTTTCATTTCCATGTTAACGGTGTGTTAGGTATGTGTTGTCTTGGTGATGTGCATGGATGGTTGCCTAGAAAAATGAATAATTCCCTGTCTGGCTTCACTATTCCAGCTTTTAGGCCATGTTTATTGAGCTTTGCTCAGCAATGGTCTGTTACAGCTTGTTGTCCCCATCACATGTTTTAACAAGCAGTTGTCTACCAATGGACGCCCACTCTTACTCAGATATTGTGGCTTTTAGGCGGCACACCACAAAATGTAAACTATACAGTCCCTTCTGCCAGCCACGGAAAGGAATTATATTACCATCTCAAGAACAAGAAATACAATATACATTTTATGAAGAGTGGTGTAATTGAAATAATCTGTGTTGGTCACTGTACAGAATATCTAGCTTTCATAATATTAAATGCTCTTTCTCTCAACTGTACTCTTACATGAACAGCCACAGAATCCATAAAGATAACAAATAAACACAGTGCTCGGTGAAGTAGAAAAGTGGAATACCAAATACTTAAGAATATTAGTAAAACCACACTAATGTACTCACAGTGAACCTACTAGACAACAGCGAAACTTCACATAAACTCTACCAGACAGACCTGAATAAAAACTCCAATAAAAGCAATAAAATTATACCTAAGTGAACAAAAGAAAGAGTATATGAGATGCATAACTCATTCACGAGCAAGTACTTATTGAACGCATATGTTTATAGCAGACTCTGCAGTTTATGTATAATGTGTGAAAACTGTACTCTCGTGTCCAACTTATACTTTGTTCGGGGCTTGGTTATACCGTACTAGAAAACATTGACCTCATTTGCAGTTGAAATTTCGCTTTTGTGTCAGTATTGTTTAGAACAACTCGGTGCCCAGTTTGTAGAAGTACAATTATGATTTAATAATATACTTTAAATATTTTTATTCTAAATATCTCCGTACTACGTAAACCCAATTCAATTTTTTTAAATCCCACCATTGACACTGCAAGAAATGAAGGAAAATTTATGTTTGCTTGTGTTTAGAACGAGGGATTATTACGAATTGTAGTGCTAATAGAATTATTTAATTTCTGTAATTTTTGGGTCATGTACCATAACTCATATTCCCAATGTTAAATTCTAGGAAGTATGAATAAGAAATAAGGTAATGGGCAAACGGGTGAGAAATTTCATGTTATGTATTAAAGGCACTAGTTCGCTCTTAAGCCACGTTGCTTTTCCGAGCCTATTTCCGATATTTCAATGGTATTTTGTTGTGTTGTGAGTATTAATGGGGCTAGAAAACGTAAGAATTATTGACGAAGGTAAGTAAAATGTGTTATATCTATTAGAGCTGTAAATTCGGACCGGAAATCAAAAGTTTTGCGAAGAGCCGTTTTTGATGCAAGGTTAACAATCAGGCTCAGAGTTTGAGTTAGATCATGTTATAGCATGAAACGTGCGTTTTTAAGTGGAAAATATTTAACAGCTGATTAGATGATTATTTATAATTACAGAGGCGACAGAGTTAAGAGTAGCGTCAATTTTACATTCTGTACAATGGAAGAAAAATCGAGTTCGACTGTCTGCAGATCAACGATGAAGAATTGTAAAAATGGTAAAACATCCCGTTTGATGTGGAAAAAGAATTTGTAAAATAGTGCTGGTCGAAGTCGCAAAAATAGCAAATACAGCATGTGGTGTTATCTGTGTATTGATGGTACCGTAGCTTATTTGATGACGTCTCTTATGTGCACTAATATCTATATCATAGTAGTTTAATAATGCAAGGTATTATGTTGTACTAATTAATACTAGCAATTCTTGCACGGCGGTAGAAATGGTACGAAATACTGTTGAATCGAGATTTATTTCTAAAAGAGGAAAACTAGAACGTATGCAAATCAGTCTAAAACAAATGACCTTGTCTGAGCTGCAAGAAAATAATCATATGCTAATTCCATCACAAAACTAAAAAGATTGAAACTGTTTTGGTAACAATTGTAATAAAATAAAAATCATCACATTTTACATGTGGTTACTGCACATGTTGGTGGTGAGGACGATTATGGTAATGAAAACTTTATAGGTGCTCTTTAATGTCTTGATGATATTCTTACTTTCTTCTTGAAAGATGTATTATTTAGTTGTCAGCAGGATATTTTTGTTAAGTTTGAAAACTAACGTTTGTAACTAAAAGAAGGTTGGATATAAACAAATTGCTTTAAGTTAGGTTTCGTATATTCACCGATTTTGCTTATACTTGTAAAACTGCATAACTGAGACTTAATGATATATTTATTTTTAGAAGACACTGGGAATGAAATGATCATAAGGGTGGAAACTAAAAGTAGAGAGTCCATGGACAGCAGTTGTAAACGTGAAGAGTTTGAATGTAAAGAACAGTTGTGCCGTTTATGTGCATGTACGATTGGTACAGGCATATACATATTCAGTGGAACTGGAAGAGAACAACAGCTTGCAAACAAAATCAATACATGCCTACCAATAACAGTAAGTTATTTTTAAATAATGTTTATTAATTAAAATCTTATTAAATTTTTTACTTTATATTATTTATGTTAATCGATTGATATAATTGATTCTGATTATGTGACTCATGTAATTTTGTATATGTATCTTCATATATCTATTTTCAAAGGGACCATTTCCACATCTTAGGTTTGTTACCTGTATGGATATATGGAAAATAAAGGAAATGATTGATTGAAAGTATGATACAGTTGAATCATGATGATAAACTGTATTGAATTATTTTAGAATCTTTGAAAATGTTTTTCTTTACTGTAGAGTTTGAAATTGGTAATATTTGAACAGTGTGTCTGAAAAAGAGTTTCTTTATATTTTTATTGGAAATGACATCATATTGAGAAAAAATGGGAGTACAGCGAGACAGTACATCAGCTACATCAGACTTCAAGAAAGCCTATGATTCAGTTAGGAGGGAAGTATTGTGCATTATTCTAATAGAGTTTGAGATACCCATGGAACTAGTTAAGTTGATTAAAATGTGTTTAAACGAAATGTATAGTAAAGTCCGTGTAGGTAAACATTTGTCTGATAAATTTCCTATCCAGAATGGTCTAAAACAAGGAGATGCTTTATTGCCACTCCTTTTCAACTTTACCTTAGAATATGCAATTTGGAAGGTCCAGGGAAACCAGGTGGGACTGAAATTAAACGGGACACATCAGCTGTTGGTCTACGCTGATGATGTGAATCTACTGGGTGATAATGTAGATACCATAAAGAAAAAGACACAAACTTTAATTGACACAAGTAAAGAGGTTGGTCTAGAAGTAAACACAGAGAGAACTAAGTATATGTTACTGTCCCATCACCAAAATGCAGGGCAAAATCATGACATAAAGATTGGAAACAGATGTTTTGAAAATGTGGCACAGTTTGGATATTTGGGAACAATGATAACAGATCGAAACCTGATTCAGGAGGAAATTAAGAGGCGATTGAACTCTGGTAATGCTTGCTACCATTCGGTCCAGAACCTTTTGTCTTCTTGTCTGCTGTCCAAAAACAAAAATTAGAATATACAAAACTATAATTTTGCCTGTGGTTCTGTGTGGGTGTGAAACTTGGTCTCTGACATTAAGGGAGGAACATAGACTGAGGGTATTTGAGAACAGGGTGTTGAGAAGAATGTTTGGACCGAAGAGAGATGAAGTGACATGAGGTTGGAGAAAACTGCATAATGAGGAGCTTCATAGCTTGTACTCTTCTCCAAGTATAATTAGAATGATCAAGTTAAGGAGGATGAGGTGGCAGGTCATGTAGAACGAATGGGAGAGACGAGAATGCGCATAGAATATTGGTGGGAAAGCCAGAAGGAAAGAGACCACAGGGAAGACCAAGGCGTAGGTGGGTGGACAATATTAGAATGGATCTTAGAGAGAGAGAGAGAGAGAATGGTATTATATGGATTGGATAGATCTGGCTCAGGATAGGGACCAGGGGAGGGTTCTTGTGAAAATGGTAATGACCCTTTGGGTTCCATAAAATGCTGGGAAATTCTTGAGTAGCTGCAGAATTGGCGGCTCCTCCAGAAGGGCTTAGCTCCATGAGTAAGTAAGTAAGTAATGACATCATATTATACGAGTATGCTTCTTACAGAAATTGAAAATTTGGAGCTTCCACTATAGTGATTTCTCTGTGTATGAAAATATAGGTTATTTTAAAATTACTGTCATCTGGAATGTGACACCATGTAGTCTGGTAGATGTTTACTGACTTTTGGAGAAACGTGCTGTTTATATCTTTATGGTAGAGGGTATGTACCAAGATAATGCAGGAAGCATGCTCCTCTGAAACATCAGTTAACATTTAGCAGTCTACATGATGTCAGACGGTAATATTTAGTCACCAGTGTTAAAACCTCAAATCCCACGTGTGTTATGCAAAATGGTCACAACACTTATGAAATGGATGTAATTTACAATAATAAACATGTGTAATTACTTTCATTATAAATTAAATGTTTAAAATATGTTGTTTCTCTCCTCAGGTTACCGTAACTGATTTATTACCAAAACAACTGTGTGTGTCATGCAGTAACAAACTAAACATTTGTTTTGATTTTGCTGAGACATGCATTAAGGCTGAGATGGAATTAAAAAGAATAATGAAAATCCATCCATTAGATTTCCCACTAAGTTCATCAATGACTGCTTCTTACAACTATTTTAATCATGCCATTAGAGATGACTGTGAAGGCAACACTGCAGATAGTCAACTAGGTGAATTAAATGATGATACAGATGGTGACAAAATATATGGTTGTCCATTGTGTCATGACGGGAACATGATTCTTCAGAAAGGACTTTGTAATGCAGAACAAATAGATATAGCAGATGCCTCTCAGTTCAGTAAAAATGGTGAAATTGTGGAAATGTGTGACGTGGCAGAAGAATATGGTGATAAGCAACTTGAAAAATCTGAATCCAAGAATGACAGTCCAGTTATTGACTTCAGTTACACCCAAAAGGATGATAGCAGAGATACAAAATATTCCAGTGGTGGAAAAGACATGGAAGATATTCCTCCCACAACATTTTTGTGTCGTTTCTGTGGCAATTTTTGTCCGGACCTGAAGTCCAGCTTAGTGCACTCCAAGTATCATGTGAATGAAAGTGGTTTACCATGTGTGCTTTGTGACACATATTTTACAAAGGAGACAGATTTAGAAAATCACTTTAGAAATCATAGTTTTGAAGTGCATAATAGATTCGCTAAGGTACAAAATGAATGTAGTGAACAGAAAACTGAAACACATGTACTTAATGATACAAGACTTTCCAAGTGTTCAGAGTGTGGTAAGATATTTGGTACCGCAGAAAGGCTCTCGTTTCATACCCAATTTCATTACGGAACAAGACCTTTGGTTTGTGAACGTTGCACAAAAGAATTTACTAGTGAGAATATGTTGTTTCGTCATATGAATTTAGTTCATGGTGGTACTGAAACTTGTAAGAAATGTGGTACAGTGTTCATGTCTAAAGTTAAACTGGACACTCATGCCTGTGAACTCATGAAACAACCATTCAGATGCAAGATATGTAGAAAACAGTTTCAAGACACTGTTATGCTGAAAAAGCACATGGCATCTCATAACTTCATTTTAGCAAAACCCTTTCAGTGTAGTCAATGTGACACCAGTTTCACCCACATTTCCAAGCTCAATATGCATGTACGGATTTTTCATTGCAGTCCCCTTACTCCTCAGATTTGTGTTAAATGCAATGTGTGTGGAGAAGTGTTCCCCAACATGGAGTGTGCTTTATTACATACTGAAAAACACACCACGCCTGATTTGCTGGATGATTTTAAAAGTGTTGAAGAAATAGAAGCAACAATGTTGTTTTGTTGTGAGTACTGTGAATCATTGTTTACACACATGGAGCATTTGTTACAACACATTTCAGAACATTCTGGTTTCAACCCGTACCACTGCTCATACTGCAATATGCTCTTCCCAGACCATAACCAAATGAAATTTCATAAAAAGTATCATGTAGAGCATGAAAATCGGCATGATGAACTGAGCTTATTTTCAATCCCTCTGTTGTTTGTGTGTGAAAAGTGTGAGAAAAGTTTTAATACATGGAAGGGATTGCAAATACACTACAACATTCTACATAATGGTTATCCAAAAAGAAATTCTCAAAATGCAGAGCAGAAAAAGTGTAGGGATGAGAAACCTGAATTTCATCTATGTGAAGACTGTGGAGAGAGTTTCAAGAAACGAGCTGACTTAAGACGACACCAACTGAAAGAACACCGTCCACAAAACAGGTTTCCATGTGAAGAGTGTGGAAAAGTGCTGTTACACTACTCTGGGCTCATTATTCATCGGCGTCAGCATACAGGAGAGAAGCCTTTCATGTGTGATGTCTGTGGAAAGAGTTTTCCACAAGGTCCTGCTATGTATACACATCGACGAACACATACACGAGACTACCCTTACAGATGTGAAATATGTGGACAGACATTCAACAATAAAGGTGATCTTAATAATCACCGTCGCTCAAAACATACCAAGGAGCGCCCTTTCACGTGCAACGTTTGTAATAAGTCCTTCCTAACTAGTGGTGTGTATTACCAGCACAAACAACTTCATGCTGGCATTCGCAAATACAAGTGTGCTCATTGTGACAGAGCTTTCAGCCGATGGAATGCATTGAGCATTCACACAAAATCTCATACTGGGGAGAAGCCGCATGCTTGTCATGTGTGTGGCAGAGGATTTGCACAGAAAGGTGACATGAAGAAACACATGAGAACCCAGCATGGAGTAATCAAATGAGGATAGTGGTTCTTTATCAGAAACCCAAATGCTTTTACAGTTGCTTTGTTTTAATTTTGTACATCTTTTGTAGCTCTCAGTTCTTAAGTAAATGTTTTACCTTCAGAAAATTTGTATCCTCTTTCTGTACTTTAATATTATCTGCAGACAGAAAAATGTTAGTGTAACAAACATGTTTAAAATCAAGGGGACCCAGAGGATGGTTAGACTTCAGCTTTCTATTAGCTGCAGTTAGATTTGGGTAGGACATGCAAACCACATGAGAACCTGCAGGTAAGAGAATAATATTAATGAAGAGTTTCAAGCAGAACTCCTGAAGCCTACCTCACTGCATAAATTTATAGTTCTAGTTTTGTAACATATTTTATTTTACTCTTGTGAAGGTCTTTTTCTTAAATTTGTCAGATATAACCTCAGAAATGTGTGATGCTGCCATGTTTATAATTGTTGGCTTGCAAGCAGCATTTGATACATAAAGTGTAGGTATGTTTCATCTGTCCCAGTACCAAATTTCACGTCTGTACAGAGACCCCAAAAAGAATTCCCATGGATTTAAACTTTCCACACCCCCTTTGAGGTGCTAGACTTCCTACTTCACACACAGTTTCCATTACTTCCCACCATTCATGTAGCTATTTTGTTCTCACAAATGTTGTTAGAGACAACTACTTTGGGTTTGTAATGGACACCAGAAGGGGCTCTAGGAGAATAAAACAGTATGCAAAGAGTGGGGTGCCTTGAGTGTCATTGCCTGCAATGTTTATGGTACGTCTTCCTTTGCTGCCAGCATAACTCCAATAAATTGTCCATTATCCCAATCATGAGTCATGCAGGACTTGGACCCTGGGATAACTGTCCTGGCGAAGATAATCAGTGACTGTAAACGATGGACCTGCAACATCTGTCAGTAAGAATAATCTGGTTTTGGGCCCCAGATGGGGCTTGACACCAAGACAGACTGGCGGACTGACTGTCAGTTTTAATGTAACTTTGACTTTTTTGTCAGTCGAGAATGTTGGTTGCAGCTGGGAGTCAGACGTCGGCTGCGCTGGTAGGCTCTGGCCTGCAGGGGTGTAAGCACAGAAGTGGAGGAGCCTCTGCTATTGGGGAACAGTAACCAAGCAATGCCTATTGAAGATTATAAAAATTGAGAGAATGTGTGTTACAGAGAGATGTACAGTGTAGTCCAAGATTTAAGTGTCCAATAAATTCAGTAATCAATCCAAGCCCTGTGTACAGTCACTATTATGTGACAATATTGTAAATATAGTACCAATGTCGTTAAAATTTAAAGGTCTGTTTGGAAATACCGGTGGTTAGTTGGAAACATACAAAAGACAAGTACCGAAATATGCATCTGCTCTCGGTAAAGCAGATACTACAAACAGAGATCATGATCATTACGTGGGGAATTGTAGATCAAAATTCAACAATTTTCGTGATCAGAAAAAAGTTAAAGACATTTCCCAATGTTGTTAATGAGTTAAGCTGCTATATGTTAGATTGCTTAAGAAATATCTGTCTCATTACTTTCTGGGTGACTGAAATAGCAGAGATTTTCTATAGCCAGGAACTGTTGCCTGGTCATTCACGTCTCACTACCCTCTTTGTCTTTCTTCTCCTCTTTTCACTCTTCTTATTTCTTGTCACCATATCTACACTCAAGGTTTGGTCCTCTATGGCCTCTTCCAAGCCTTACTGCTGCTTTGAATACCATTTTCATCTCTCTTCCCTTTATTTTCTTCCATAATATTTGAAATGCATTTCTCTCTTTGGCATCTATTATCCTCCATCTTCTCCATGTGGGCTCTCTACCACCTTATATATGCTCTCTTAATTGTTTCATTGCACATAGTCCATTTCATGTTTACTCCACAACTGATCTGAGGAATGTCATCAATCTTATCTCATCCTTCCTTTTCAGAATGAAAATTTCAAATTAAAAAAATTGAAGCTGGCTTCCTTGTTACTTTTGAAAAATCTTAAGTGAACATCCATTGACATGTTTCTACCAAAATTTCTAATTCATACATTTAATTTGTTAATATTATGAGTATTTATATTATTTTCTAAATATACATTTCCCTATTTTGAGACTGCACTTAAATGTTCTAACCTGTTCTATTATCTGATTCTTAATTATAAATATGGCCCATAGCAATTCACTGCCCTTTACTGCCATTCATTTCGTTATGGCAATTTAAATTTCCGTCCTATACAATGAAATAATTTTAAAATGATTATGTGAGGCCGTCTTAAGCTCCTTCTCACTTATTCATGATAACTCGATCAGCTACATAAAGTAGAGTTAAGATGATGGATTGGTCTGAAATTTGTTGGTTTTGTGTATAATCAATATAGCAGACAAAAAATTTTACAGAAAATTTTATATATAAAACATTAGCTTTCATTCATGTTGTTTTAACAGCTTCATTATCAGCTTCACCTCAGATTTTATTGGTTTTGATAAATATTTTTGTTAGGCCTCTTTAAGTACATATACCTTAGTTCTTTTACACCAAGGACTGTTTATAAATTCTACATATCATTAAGTTACATAATTTGAAATGTTCTCTAAAGTATATGGGTTAAAAAACAATGACAATTTTGTTAATTTCAATAGGACTGAAAATTTGAGGAATTCTATATGCTGTTTTGTAAAGTTACAAATTTCACCATGTTAAAGATGAAATATTTCTGTAGGAGTTGTCAACTTTTAGGTGGTCAGAAGACTTTAACTTCATTTAAAATGCATATTACATGAAAATCTGTGCCCACAGAATCTGGAAATTACTTCATCTTTAAAAAATGAACAAATTCCTTTAGAAACTAACAATGCCTTGTACATTATAAATAGATATATTACACTGTTTAAAAAATTTACTCCATCTCCAAGGTAACTTCTGAATACTTGATCTTGTAATAGCAGATAGCCAGTAGTGTTTATAACTTTGTAACATGACCACAATCATATCTGTTAACACGCCTGTGTATGAAAGTACCCACATGTTTGAAATAGACACTTCAAAGCAGAATTTCTGTAATTATAAATACCATTTGCAAAAGGAACATGCAGCCTCTGATGAGGAAACATGAATGCATTCTGCCTCCGACAAGTGACTCCAACACATGATCATCAGAACACACACACTTTCCTGAAGAATACTGTCTTCTGAAAAGTGACATTGTGTAGTCTGGTACATCATTACCGATGTTCCAGAGAACCTGTTGCCCCCATCTTCATGGTAAATATGGAAGCAACAAGTTCCTCTAAAACACTAGTAACAATACTGGCTTACATGGTGTCACATCCCACAAGATAGTAATCTTGTGGCATTGCCATGAAAACCTCACATTTTCCTGATGCATTTACTAACAGAATAATAGTTCATGTTTCTCTCAAAATGGCATCTTCCTACATTTGTGCTATTTTTGCATAAAGTTGCATTTTACATGACCCACATTACACTTTAGGAGTGTAAAAATTTCTCAGATTAAAGTATTTATCTTAATCTTCTTCAATTAAATACCCAACTCAGATTCTGTGCATTAAATGATAGGATTTTTGTAATTATTTATCACTGTTGTACAACACTAAAGTCTAGTATGTATGACAACTTTTATCAGTAATTACTGAATTTTCCAAGTCTGATCCTTCTGTACATTTAAGTTTTGCAGCTGTAAGTGTGAACAACTTTCCATTACATTATTCATACATATACTTTCCTGGTCCCTGGTTCCTTAATACTGAACAAATGCAAGATGAATTGAGGCTTGGAAAATAAAACTTTGACAACAAGAAAAGAGCACACACACAGGAAGACTACACAGGATAACACCTATACAGTATGGAAACAAGAACTAGCTGCTGCAGCACTTTAGACATAGGGCGAGTAACCCTAACAATTTTAAATTTAAAAATTTTGAAGGATTTTAAAATTAGAACTAAAGATTTTATAGTGCTACTACAGGAAAGTCAAAATTAACATGTGTAAAATAATCTACAAACCAGACAGATATCAACGAAGTAGATGTTGATAATAACAAGGAAAGTGTTTTTAAATGTTAAATTTTGGGCTGGGTGCAGTGTGACAGCAACGTGAGTGTTATACACCTGATGATGGCCGTCTGAGGCCGAAACATGTAGTGTAAAGGAGCAAGATCAAGGACACATAATATACTGTTTGCACTTGGGACAGAGTTTATATCATTTAAAGAAAAGAAAAGACTGTTTCATGGTGGTGAAAGCAATATACAACAAAGCCCTCATTTAAGGTTTATTTTGGGAACAGCAGATATTGACACTAAACTGATGATATTCTTAAAGTTAGGTAATTTAACAATGAGATTACTGATTATTGACATGGGATCACTGCAACTGAACACTAAGCAAGGGAATGCCTTTATATCACCAAACATTAAAAGGAGGTTGCACTGCACATTTATTCCTTAGCAGCAACAGGGAGTGCAGCTCGTCATTAGACTGAGTCTTGTAGCTAACATGGAACTATTCTCACACAGACTTGCTGCTGCAGCCGATAATTTACGGCCTGTTTTTTGCTGTACTTTAATTTATCTTATTTTATAGCAGAGTCTCAAAGTAATGAACCCTCTGCTTCTAAGCATGCCTCGCATTATGAAAATGTTTTCAGACACATGCCAAAGCTGCTGTATAGGATCAGCAGAGATATCAAGCCCAGTCTTCTGCCGAGATTCTTCAAGAGAATGTGGGTTGTTCACACATACTTTTTCTTTCACCATACTCCACAAATAAGTATCAAGGATTCAAACTGGTTAACTGTGGAGTCCATATCCTCGATTTATGACTCGTTCATTGAGACTTTAGGAAATGCATTATAAGAAATGATCACAATGTGCACTGATGCATGATCTTGCACAAAGTGCCTGTATAATTTTGGTTCATCAGTGACTTTATTTTTACGTTACTTAATGATGCTTTTCAGACTATATGGTATCAGATCAGTCAGTTTGTCAAAGAATAAATATCATACAATGTTTGGAATTTGTGTGTGTATGCAGGCGCATGTGGGGGGGGGTGATATGGACTTAAATATACTTCACACACTAATTTCACACCAAACCCGAACTTTTACGGACAGACTTGAAAGGATTCTGATGGTGTATACTGTACTTCTTTTGGCTTATTTTGGACTTCACCCATCGTCCGGTATATAAAAAAGACAAAAAACCACAACGTTTCGGAGACTGGATCTGTCTCCGTCTTCAGGTGTAATACCTAAAAATCAGTTTGGCCAAAACCCTGAACCGTCCAGTGATTGAGACTAGCTCTTTCTAAGGGGCCCAACTGAGTAGGTTAAACCTTCCTTATACACCTGAAGACGGAGACAGATCCAGTCTCCGAAACGTTGTGGTTTTTTGTCTTTTTTTATATACCGGATGATGGGTGAAGTCCAAAATAAGCCAAAAGAAGTACCGAACTTTTATATTATGCAAAACACTTCATGAACAGCAAGAGAACTATCTGTGCTTCAGGATCTGTTATTTTGGCTACTTATGTAACCACGTAAAGTGAACCATGCCTCTTCTGGGTCCACTGAGTGCCAGTTCCAAAAACCACCTGCAGTATCTTATTCTTCTCTGCAACCCAGATGTGAAAGGCTATGCACAACTGTAGTTTTGTAAGGCTGTAACTTTAGCAACTTTACATCAATGTGAGCTGTACTTTTTGCCAATCAACACTGAGGAACCAAAACTTCTTCAGGTGAACTTCTAATCAAGTCGAGATATCACGATTTTCTTCAGTCAGTTCATGTCTATTTATTACTGTCCACCACTGATTCCACACGATATAATTCCATATTACAACGCAGAACTGTCGCTATACATGGCACCGCAAAATGAATGCTGGGCGATTAAATCCAAAATGAGAAATACCCAAGCAAATATCTTTTAAACAGAGGTTGACCACAATGAAAAGCATTAAGGTGTTAATTACTTGTAAGTAATGTTTTTTTTATTGCTAGTTGAGTGGGACTAAGTCCCTTGTACTGCAGCCACTTCTGGCCTATTGTACCAGCCCCAGATGAAAGGTGAGGGTGATTATGGAGCAATTGGTGGAATGAAGATTGACAGGGGAAACCGAAGTACTTGGAAAAAACCTGCCCCAGCGCCATTTTGTCCACCACAAATACCACTTGACCAGACCCGGGATCAAACCCAGGCCGCTGCGGTGAGAAGCCAGGGACTGACTGCTTTTGCTAGTGAACGGCCTTTAGTTAAGGTTAATTTATTTTAATTGTGAAATGTCGTATTCACAGATGATAAGTAGTTTTCGCATACAATGCAACATTTTTAGAAAGACAACAACTGATGATGACTGTCTATGACTGAAACAGCAGTAAAAAAAGCTGGGTAACTAGATAATAAGTTGCCTTTAAGACGGAAATATATGTGTACTAAAGACAAAAATGTTATGTATGTAGGACAATTCCCAAAAAGTCAAATAATTTAGCAGGCACATGAAGAAAAATTGAAACCTTTAAGTAGCTGCTAGGAAATAGGAAACTGTTGGAAAATTTCACTCGGATGGGGTCGATGGTGGCCCACACAAAATTTGGCAATAGGACAAAAATAATAGCAACACTTAGATTCCAAAGAGTTCTGACAATGGTGGAAAACACACAGACTTACTGGGTTTTTGAACTCTTTCCATCGTCTGGAATTCTAGGAAATAGAAAATATGGCGTTTCATTTCTAGCCTAGTCTTATATGTTGAAATAGCTGGATAAATTTGAAATTGTTGTCCAATGATTGAGATTAGCTCTTTCTAAGGGGCCGAACTGAGTGTCTTCCTTCCTCACCTGAAGACAGAAAGAGATCCAGTTTCCGAAATGTCATGTATTCTATTTCATAGAATTCCGGATGATGGAAAAAGTCCAAAAACCCAGTAATTCTGTGAATAGCAACATTGATCACTCCTTTTTTTTTTTCAAGAATCAATTTCTATCTTCAGTGATGACAGGTGTAACATAAGGTAAAAGTAAGCTGTCCCCATGCTTAATTAAGAAACACACCGTGAAGATGTATGCGGGAGTGAAGGTATAGCTCCACCACTCTTGACCTTGGCACTATCTGAAGATCAGTGGTGAGCTTCATGTCCCAGCCGCTTTATCCCTGGAGAAAGAGCCCCCAGTACCGATGGATAGGTAGCTGGGTGGGCCCCAGAGTCAGTAGGAACACTGCAGAATAGAGAAACACTTTTTCCACTGCCAAGAATCGAACCCCAGCCATCCAGCCCATAGTATATTACTATACCAACTGAGGTATCCCAGCACCCACTGAAATGTGTGCTGTTCATTCTGGAAATATATGACAGGTAATGCCAGTGAATTTCCTTCCAAGAGTGATGCTTTCGATCAGCATGCCAAGGAAACGATTATTGTGAATTTGCAAGACTATGGCTACTGTCACATGCTGGCAAGTATTCATGAGATACTGATATATCTAGAAAACCATACTGCCTATCCCTCAGCTGATGTTAACAAACAACTGCAAGTATACACATGGAATGCTTGGAAGTCCTAGTAAGTGTAGTTAGACATGTTACTGCTGAGCTTGGAACCAGTCATCTCGCAAATGACGACATGAAAATTTGTCTGCTGAGATAAGGCATCTTCTTTCAAAATCTGATATACCATCTACTAACACGTGCAAAAACATCTGTACTGATAATAGTAAGAGCAAGCCCTGAATAATTTGTGCTGTTCACAAGAATGTGGGCAAGCTGGTATTGACTAACAATTGTAGATGTTTAAGATTCCACTGTACCATTCTTTTATTATGGATACAGTGTCATTAAACTGATAAATATTATAACTGTAATTTAAGATCACACATGCATAATTTATTTAAATTATAGTAATCACTGTTTACTTTATTATATTTAAGCATCCTGTTGCACTATACACATCTATATGTAATAATACAAATGCCGCCGTGAATGCAATAATTTATTTGATTGTAGATCTTTGTCTTTTCTTCTTCCACACTACATGTTTTGGCTGTAATTGGCCATCATCAGGTGTATTTTTCACTATGTAGCTGTCACACTGCACACAGTCTAAAATCTAAAACATCAGCCCGTCAGTTTTGTTTTAAAACTCACCAACACACGCTCGTCAATTTGATTTTTAGAATTCCAATTTAAAATTTAAAATTTCTAGAACAAAAGTATTAAAGATGAGCAGCGACACACACACAGGGAGCCCGCACAGAATAATACATGAACGGTGCTGGAAACAAGAAATTGCCGCTGCAGCACATGTAGACAAGAGCAGGTGTCCCTCGTATTTAAAACTTTAAATTTTAAACTGGAATTCTAAAATCAAATTGACGAGCGTGTGTTGGCGAGATTTTAAAACAAAACTGACAGGCTGATGTTTTAGATTTTGGACTGTGTGCAGTGTGACAACTATGTAGTGAAAAATACGCCTGATGATGGCCAATTACAGCCGAAAAATGTAGTGTAGAGGAAGAAAAGACAAAGATCTACAACCAAATAAATTGTTGCATTCACGACGGCATTTGTATTATTACATATATAGTAATCAGTTTCTTCACCATTTACAATGTATCCACTGTTTTCATACTCCATTTTTTAAGCCTCACCTCACTCGGTTTTCCATTTTATCCTTGGTCTTCCTAGTAATCATTCATTCCATATCTCCATATTCTGCACCTTCAGAGGTATCATACCGTCATCCATACATAACAAAAACCAATGCTACTGCATGCTTAACTTGACTAACTTTTACCAAATGTCATAGCTGAGCGTGTGGTGCTCCTGCTTCATATTCAGGAGATCCCGGGTTCAAATCTCAGCCCTCAGACCAGCTATCCTAATGGATGCTTTCTACGGTTTTCCTCAGTTCTTCCAGGCAAATGCTGGTAGAGTACCTCATATTAAGCCACGCCTGTTTCTTTCCACATCCTTTCCAAATTCATTATTCACTGATTCTACCAGTCAACACTATTTAGTATGAGCTACTGATGGTGTCAGTAAACTACTAATAAATAAAAACTAATCACCTTCTGTTGCAGTGTTTCCATTTTCAGGCATTATCTGCTGTCCAGGTTTCACAGTTTATCCCCACATATTCATTTCTTAATAATCCACATAAACTTAATCTCTACTCTTTACAGTGTCTCTATGACTCTTACATGTACATTACATAACACTGAATTAAAATAAATGTGACTGGGAAGTATGTGGAAGGAAGTGATGACCTGCTTTAAGGTACTGGCTTATCTTTTACACCCAGGGCCTGAAAGATTTTCAGTTAGGACAGCCAGCCTCTAAACTAAATCAAACCTGTGACTTCCAAAATACAGAGCAGAAGTGCTAACAACTAAATTGCAATGTTTGGTTCCCAACTGATGAAGATGTTTCAACAGTCAACAGTTGTTAAAAGAAATAATCCATTGAAACAGAAGAAGTTCTCATGTACATCTTGGAACTTATAAACCTAGGTGGAACCAGGGACCAACATATAAGTATAATGGTATATCTGCCACTGGTACTCAGATATATTATAAATATTTAAGAATTATGACAAGTTAAGAAGCACTAAGAATACCAAAATTTACATTAAAATTAGTTCCAGAATTTTCCTCAAAAATCTTGTCACCTGCTACTGAAAATTAAATAGTATTACGGATTACATCAGTAATAAAACTGAAACTACTTTCTCCACAGAATAAATTAATATGGTGTCCACATTTCTGTCCATCCAACCATACACACCGTCCATTCACTCATACTCATCAATACACACATCTTTCACATCATTAGTCTTATTTAAGTATAGAAAATTTCCATCTATTTATGGTGGAATAACATATTATGTATGATTACTCAAACTTATTTACAGCACTTTAGTACAAAACTTCTTCTTGTTTTTGTTTATGCAGGCTTGGAAATGCAACATGCAATAGTCATTTCTTCTTCCAAGTATTTTATACTTGTGACCAGGACTCAGAAATATACTCACCCACTTGCCACAGGATTGTTAACAAAAGCCAGATTAAAAAATATAACTATGTTTATGAAGTACACCAGGGAATATGGGCAAGTGGATAGATAACTTGCTTTTTGGTAGCAATGTTTATGCCTCTAAATATTTTTGCATAAGCAAGTCAAGTCAGACACAAAGACAGATGTACCCATTACCCAGTAATATGTCAAGTATAAATTACAACGCATGTCTTACAATATGGAAATGGTACATACATATATTCATACTATGTGATAACACACATTATGTTAAAAATTAATATTCTGGTCCTGCATGTGTAATATATAAATGCTAAAACAATGTGCCAGACCACAATAAAGATGGTACTGAGTGACAAAATGTGATAACCATATATCCTTAGAAAAGTTCCAGAAATCAACTGGCATTGCCTTTCTGGATCCTCTGCATATGAATTTAACAAATTCACTATCAAATCTATGCAGCAGACTTAAAAGTAACACTCGATACTTTAAACTGCGATCAAGTATGTATTTGTACCTAAGAAATGGATTTCCTTCATTCTGCAATATGCACTATGATAAAAACTTAATGTCTATGAGGAGGAGAGAACACTAATTCTCCCTTAGTTTATGTTATATACACAGATTGAAGTCTGGTGTAGAACTATTTTGATTTTCTAGTTGTGGGGCTGTCAGGTGGTGTCAGAGAAATTGATTCTGACTTTGTAGTAAGAGATCTCCGGGCTGTGGTCTTGAATGAAAGTTTCTTGAGGGGTCGAGGAGAAATACCATGTAAAGCAGTGTCAGATGAAGCAGATTCATTGTTTGCAAACCACACTCGAATTCCATCTGTTCCTGGAACACACATTAACCAACTGCATATATAAGACACAAACTGGCTGATTAGTAAAATATGTTTTGCAATTTTGAGATATTGAATTCAAATGTTGATAGAGAAATACAGTGAAGCCTAGATTTTAAACTTTTTAAGGGATGGCCTAAAATATATGTTAAACTAAGGAAGTGTAAAATCAAGGAAATATGAATTTTACAACATAAACAAAACTGTGGTCTTCTTTATATTATAATTTTGGAAAACCATTTAAAATGTGCAAGTTTGAACACTAACAATGTAAATGTAAATGAACACAGGGTTCTTGGTTTATTTTACAATGCTTTATCAATTGCTGAATGGAAAGGACATGGAAGGAAATTGTCATGACCTATATCAAGGCACTATGCCAGCATTTACCTGGAATCGAGCTGTACACAGCTTACCCATTCCTAGTTTTAATCATTGAGAAATGTACACAGCATGATTAGTTTTAACCTATGCATCTTGCTGCGTATACAGATTCAGGGGTATTATTGCCATTGCATGACATATTGATTCTTCTGTATATAATATGCAACTGAATTGAATATGTCAATAAGTCGATCAGTTTATTATACTGAACACTACATGTTTCAGTCGCGGTTAACCATCATCAGGTGTGTACATATATAGTCATTACTACATTGTGTTTTATTGCCGAACATAAAACTAAAATGGATCCATTTTTAGTCCTATAGTTAATATCTCTGCTGACATGTCTGGTGGAAGGTGGTGTACTACTGACTTTATGGGTTCTTCAGAATTTGGGGGGAAGATAAATTATTTTTTCCAGGTATGATTTCATGGTTGAATAGTCTGCCATTATATTTTGTTATGATACAGGTTCCATATTGTGAATTTTGGAACTCATACTCTCCTTTGACATGTCTTTTAAGTTGCTTTGGAGGAGAATGAGGTTTGTGGTAGAAGTCATCACTATTGGTGGTGATCAACCTTGTTTTCTCAAAGCCTCCTGTTCCAGTAGTGAGTTCTCTGCTTCAGTAGCTTTCATGTCAATGTTAGTAGTTCTGAGAGGTGTGACGAGTTTAAAAGTTAACACTGCTATTGAAGGCATCTTGACAGCTGCAGATGTTGGGACTGTTTTAGTCGACTTCTTGGCTGTCTGCGAGGTAATATTAGAGATATGCCTCTTATGTCTCTTTACTTCCTGGAAATTGTCATCCTGGCCCATTGAATCCTCTGAGCTTTTGTTCACAGCACTACTTTATCTGTCCTGTGCATCCATCTTCAGGATATCCTTCAGTTCATTCAATATTACCCCTTACATGTCGTGAAGATCACTAAATAGTGGCTATCCATCTAGAGCTTTGCAAAAGTTTACTGTGTTCTCCTCCATACTATTCACAATAGAGGTCCACTCAGAACTTGTCCCCACTTTAGCCAGCATGCATTCAGCAAGGTCCTCAATGTCATTGAGTGCTTCATATACCTGTTGCATTACAGAAGCTGCTTCTTGGTATTTTCCATGATGGCATGACATTCAGATTTCAGCGATTCTGGCTTCTGTGTTCAATACTTCCAGAATCCTAGTATTGGAACGTCTGCCATCTTGGTGTACATTCAAGTTTCTTTTTTTCACTAACTCTCACTAATTGCAACAGCTCAGCTTCCTGTACTCAATTCCACTAACTCACAACTCAACTAGTCCTCCTTATAATATCTCAGCATGGACGACGTACAAAACACTGCTTTCCACCATTACTCATTACTCCTTTGCTGCATTCACGTCTGTTAGGGTGACCATGTGCTTGCTACTGAGCCAATGCCTAGCAACAGCCTTTGTTTGCAGAGCAATTCCCTAGCAATGGCTATCCCTGGTGGCTTCACAATTCTGCCTTGAGCAAATATGCCATAATTTATTATATGCAGTTGGTATTAGTACAAGGAAGAGTCAGTAAATAGGTCAAAAATAGATATAAACTACTAAATAGATATTCAGACCTGGGGGAGGGGATATTTCTCTATATATCCTCCACCAACATTGATGCACTTGACCCACTGCTTTTCCAGTGCACTGAAACCCATAGCATAGAAGTCTTTTGACTGTTATGTCAGCGACTTCCGCACACTTGTTTCAACCTTTCCGTCATCACTGAAACGTTTGCCACTCAGTTGTGAACTGTGTTATGCAACAAATAAAGAGAAAACATTTCTTTATGAATATCTTTAAATAGTCCTTTTGCACACAAAACACTGATGTTTGGTAGTACATACGTCAAGCATGGTCACCATTTTGACTAATGAAACCAGTCTCTAAACATAAGCATGCACTCTGCCACCTAAACTGATATGAAGCTGGACTGTGCTGCTACCTACTGACACATATAGAAAACCTATTATGTTCATTGAAGCTGTTTTACTTCCATTTGTGACCTATGTATTGACTGCCCCTCATCTTAATATTGTGTAGTTGGAATATCAGGTTGTCTACCACGTGTTCAGCTCATACGTATCTATGAGGGTGGTACTGAAAGTCATGAGCAACAATTTTTTGTAAAGTAACATGCTTTATCATTGACAAACGAAATACACCGCCTCAATCTACAGACCTTTCTTTACTTTTCCACATAATCACCACTTCTTTGTACACATTTCTCCCAGCGTTCTGGGAGTTTGAAAATTCCCTTTCTGTAAAATTCCGTTCCAGCCATCAGAAGACACTGACACACTGCTATCTGAACTGCCTCCCTTGTCTCAAAACGTTGTCCACGCAGCTGATCCTTCACAAACCCGAAAAGATGGTAGTCGGAGGGGGCCAAATCAGGCCTATAGGAGGGGCGTGGAACTTCTCACCCCATCTTTGCAATTGCTTCCAATGTGAGGCGAGCGTTGTCATGCAGGATGATGATGTTTTGTCCTGGACGTTTATCGCGCAATGCATGACAGAGCTTGTGCAGCGTCTGGACATAATGAGCAGCATTGATGATCTACCCAGGTTCCAGGAATTCAGCCAGCATAAACCCCTCTGCATCCCAGATGACTGTGCCCATCACCTTCACAGCTGATGGCACTGTCTTTGCCTTCTTCTTTGATGGAGAATGCAAATGGTGCCATTCCATACTCTGCCGTTTTGTTTCAGACTCAAAATGGTGAAACCAGCTTTCGTCACCTGTCACAATACAGAGCAAAGAATCACCACCTTCGTGTCAATATCTCTGCAGCAGTTCTGAGGTGATGGCTTTTCGCTGACCTTTGTGGCCTTCGGTCAATAACCGTGGGACCCAACAAGCACAAACTTTCCTATAGCCCAAGCTTTCAATCATCTCCTGTACTGCACTGTGCCCTATTCCAAGTTTTCGGGCTATTGTGTTCACAGTCACATGCCTGTCATCTTGAATGATCTCATCCACTCTTTCCTTGTTGCGTTCAGTTGAGGCTGTTCGAGGACGACCGCTCTGAGGCTCATCTTCGATGCTGGTGTTCCCGTCTTTAAAATTTTTCAGCCATTTTCGAACACTGCTGGCACCCATGCACACACTTCTATAAGCACGCTGAAGTCTCTGGTGAATTTCTGCAGCAGGGATTTCCTCTTTCACAAGATATTCGATGACAGCACTGTGGTGAAACAACATATCGTTGTCGGCCATTTTGTTGGGAGTGATACTGGTCACATGATGCAAGCTATTGACATCACAAGACACTCAAGGTTAACACAACAGCTGGTTCCACCTACCACCATACTCTCTTTCGTCTGCTGTTCCCAGGTTGCATGCAAAAGAAGTTGCTCATGACTTTCGGTACGACCTACGTATAATATAGAAGGAAAGTCATAAAATTTATTATTATTAAGTCTATTATGATCTTGAATATCTGGCATTTTTTTCCTTAGATGTAGATGCCATGGGAAATGCTGATATACAGTATTAGGAAGTTACACAGTACTTCGGTATGGCTGTTGGAAGTCAGTACATTAAGATTGATGGATTTCCTGTAATTAATAACAGTTTATGATGTCATATGTGTTTCTGGTACTGGTATGAATTAGGTTTATATATGTGTGTGGTTTACATACTGTGAACATGGATACTTAGTGCAATGGGGGTGTATTGCATTGTGGTTTCTCTGTGATAAGGATTTTTTTTATGAAATATGAGATGTATTATAGTGTACCTTTGATGTGGTGTAAAGATTAAATTCTTGGATTTTAATTCAGTGTTTAAGTATGTCCTGTCCTATCGCATTATGTGGTTACCAGTCAGTAGCATGTTTCCTGATGGAACTTACCCCTCCATCTTCCAGCACCCACACCACATACCCCTTTATCACCTGCACTGTACAATACAACCCTTAACACACACACTTCAGTCATTCACCACCATCCAAACAAGTCGCATCATGAAACATACTACAAACAGGTAAACATTCAATGCAAGAGGACATACTTAAACATTAAATCAGAATTGAAGAATTTAATCTTTACACCATATCGAAGTTACATTATAGTATAGTTCATATTTCAGAACAAATCCAGTTCACAAAATGTACAGACAATACACTAAATATCCATATTCACAGAAAGTAAACCATACACACATAATACATCTGATCCACACAGATACCATACCATCATCGTCAACAGCATAACCTATTATTAATTATAGGAAGTCCATTAATATAAAAGTACTGAATTCAACAACCATACCAAAGTACTATGTAACTTGCTAGTACTACAGATCAACATTTCCTACAGCACCTACATGTAACAATGTAAGTAAGAAAACCACCAGAAATTTAAAATTATAACAAAAATAAATATTTTATGACTTTCCTTATATATTACAGATATATGTGGTGCTATCCAGAAGTTCCCGAAATATAATAATAAAAACTATTACATCTTACCTAGATCTTATTCTGCACCATCACCTTGAAAGTAGTCCCCTTGGGAGCGCATACACCGATCCTAGCATTTCTGCCACTTTTCAAATGCATCCTGGAAGTCTTTCTTTGTTAGGGTGTTTAGTACCGTCTGCTTGAATTTCCTCAACTGTATCAAATCTTCGCCCCATCAACTTGATTTTAATCACAAAACTGCAAACTCACGGAAACACAACAATGGAAAGAAGTTCACCAACAATAAACCCAACCACTCAACTCGACGCCGCTTGCCACACTGATTCAAGAAGGGTGTGTGGGGAGACACCCAGCGGTATTTCGATGTACTCATAACCATTCGCGTGCAAAATTCAAATTTCGGGTACTTTCTGATTGCACCATGTATATCAGCTGGACACATGGAAGACAACATGATATTCCAACTATACTATAGTAATAGATATACCATCTACATACAATGTATGAATATAATATGTAAATTCACATAAACACAAAACACACTCCAAATTACCTTTCCATATATTCATGCTTCCGCATGCTATATATATATACATTTTACAATTTTATAATTTTAATATCTTTAACACATTCTTTGGAAAACTTTTAACTTTACGACAAAAAATGGATCCATTTTAATTATATATTCAGCAATATAAAACACAATATATTCATGACTATATATGTACACACCTGATGATGGTCAACCACGGCCAAAGCAGTTCAATATAATAAACTGATGGACTTTTTATTTTTTTAATGCTAGTTGGGTGGGACTAAGTCCCTTGTACTGTGGCCACTTCTGGCCTATTGTACCAGCCCAAAATGATAGGTGAGGGTGATTGTGGAGCAACTGATGGAATGAAGATTGGCAGGGGAAACCAAAGTACTCGGAGAAAACCTGCCCCAGCGCCACTTTGTCCACCACAAATCCCACTTGACCAAACCCAGGACGGAACCCAGGCCACCGTGGTGGAAAGCCAGCGACTAACCGCTTGAGGTATGGCGAACTGATTGACTTACTGATATATATATCATCATCATCATCAGTAATCTGTCAAGACGACAGGTCCACAGTCTCTTTCAAAACAATTCCTCCACTTAATGCGATCTAGANAAACAAAACAATTTTTCCCATATAAATTAATGTAAAATACGATAATACGTTCCATGAACTGTTAGGCTGTTTGGGACGAACAATCATAAGAAGGTAGCGGACGTAACGGCCGGAGAATAGTCGCGGCAAGAGAAGTAGCTGAACCAAAAGAAGACACAGCAAGCACAGCCTTGAAAGAAAAGGAACAGGAATGTACCGTTAGGCTATTTGGGACGAACAGCCTTAAGGAGGGAGCAATGTGGCGTATTGGCTCTATGGAGGAACTGTTGAGCCACAGAGGCCTCGGGGCATGCGCACAACGTGAGAGTTGCGGATTGTATAGGCGTGTTGCTAGGTGACAACTCTGGGAACGCTTGGATTGAACAATAGGAAGTGTGAGTGACGTCACATACCCCACTCATCCTGTAACTATGCAATGCTTGGTAAACACCCCTCCCCAATAGGCTGTGATGTCATACAACAGGGCAGTCTGTGCAGAGACTATTGCTAGGCAATTGGTAAACGTGATGTCACGCAACAGTGATAACTATCACGTAACTGTTTCCTGTGTTGTCAGTGAGGAAGCTACATGACGAGGAGTATTTGTCAGTGTTGAACCACAGAGAGAGAGTGTTAAGAGCAGTATTCGGTAAGAACTCCAGCAGCTACGAGTCGAGTTGTATCACGTGAATGGAAGTGACTACAGCAGAAGCAGTAAATGGGACAATGAAATTGTGAATTGTGTAAGTGTAAGAGTGAGTGTGCAATAAATTTGCTAAGATCCAAAATGGTGTGAAGTTATTTGTCGCATTACAAACACCCAACATGTGACATATTTGCAATTAATGTCTTATGAGAACAAGTAATATACATGTATAAATGTAGGCATCTGTATGATACATCTTTATTCCAAATTTCACGTGCCTAATTTAAGTGGTTTGATAAGTATTGCTATTAAACCAAAATTATATATGGACTTCATGCATTGCCATTTTGCTGTTTCATATTCTGCAAAAGAAGTATGTTAAACAGCTACACATATATGAGGGTAAGTCAATAAGTAAGTTACAAATGGATATAGAACTTGTGAAACAATGGGACAAGAGCCTCGATGTACAGGGAGATTATGTTGAGAAATAAAAGAATTTTTCAAATCTGTACTCTTATTTGTTTAAGTTCTAAATTCATTTGTAACTTACTTACTGACTTACCTACGTACATTTTTTTTCCTTGGCACTACAGCCCCAGTGGGCCTAGGCCTACCTCCATGAACTCCGTTCACTTCGGTTTTTCTAGATCTTACACATTCGGTAGGACTCCTTGGGCGAGTGATCAGCTCGTCGCAAGGCCTCTACCTGTAGACAAACACAGAAAAATGCACACAAACATCCATGCCCAGAGTGGGATTCAAACCCACGATCCCGGCTTCCGAGTGAGCGAAGACAGTGCATGCCTTAGACCGCTCTGCTACTGTGACCGGCACCTACATACATTACCATATGTAATTTAAAGCCCCTTGATTAAGTTACACTAGTTGTCACTTCCACCTCACAAGTTTGTACATCCACCATGTTCTTAATGTTCTATTTTAGCGTCCTGTTGCACTGGCCTTTATTGACATAACATTTACACCATATTTTAATTTAACTGGTCAACTAGTTCAAAAGTTGAAATTGGAAGTCACAAACATACAGATACACAGAAAGTATGGCAATTTCACAAGCCTATCCTTTCCTCATGGAAGAAAATAGTGCTCCTATTATTTACAAGATTTGGAAATTACGTTTAGTAGTGTCCATGTCACTTTCATGCCTATTCTTTTGGCCTATTTAACGATGTTGAATATATAGCATCGGACTGGAGGGTGTCTGATGAATTGGCAAATATTTGGTATGAAGTGCTCACGGTCTAATTAGGGTACTACCCAGCAATTGCTTGGAGGAACTGAGAAAAACCACAGGACACCTCAGACAGGATTTCTGATGCCTCACCCAAGATTTGAACAAATTACCCCTGAATGAAAGTTTACAGCATAACCCCTAGACCAACTTCTTCAGTACTCCCACATGTAACCTCTAATCATAAGATGTCTATACCAAATTTCATGAAAATCCATCCAAAAAGTTGTTGAGGAGAGGGGACACAGACAAATTTGTTGATACATAAGAATGTCTTGCCTTATGAAATAGGAAAATATCACTCTTAAACCTTATTACTGATTCTACGCTGTCATGGTGGTAAATTATTGATATTCTTAGATTTGTACACCATGCTGTTGTGGGTGATGTTGCTGACATTTCTGAGGTATATGCTGCTTCCATCTTCAAGGGTGAAGTATGTGGATGAGTCGCCATCTATACACAGAACTGTATTGACTAGAAATAGTGGAAGGGGGGCAAAGTGGGAATTGGTGCCACATCTATGTCAGCAGGAACGGTGGCCTGGCATCAAATTCCCATCAGCAAACGATACTTTTGAGCAGCCACCCATCTAAGATTTCATCAGGCAACATTTTTCTCAACTTTCTCTGTGAGCCAACCACCATAGGAAGTGGCAGGAAAATCAACATGGGTTGACAGCAGGTTTCCACAGGGGCAGGAAGAAGGAGAAAGTACATAGAAGAGCAGACTGGGAAAGTTTGTGCATATGGTCCTTTTAAGGGCCCAGAAATCCAACAAAAATCCCTGTGGCAAATAACGTATTGAGTGGTCACCATGCAAGTGCTCATAAGGCAAAACACTGCATAACATTTAATTCATGAAGAATGGCAGGGAGATTACTGCGAGCTGACAGTAGGTTTCTGTCCCTGTGAAAAACTACTGACAAAGTCATGGTCTTTTCCCCACCATTCTCCATGCTGCTTGACCCACAGAAAAAAAGAAAACATTAAGAAATATCTTGCAGATGAGTGCCTGGATGGTGACTGCTTGTGAACATCAGTTGCCAAGAGGATTTTTGATGGATTCCTGGACACTATAAAGGGCTCCATGCACAAACTTTCCCAGTCAGCTCTTCTTCACGGTTGCTCATTCCTTCCTGTCCCTGTGGAAACCTACTGTCGACCAATGATTACCTTCCCACCACTTTCCATACTGGTTGATTCACAGATAAATGTTAAAAAAAAACGTTTTGCCTGATGAACACTTGGATGGGTGACAATTCAAAAGCATCAGTGGCTGTCAGAATTTTGATGCATTCCTGGGCCCTTAAATATGCTGTCTGCATAACTTTCCCAGTCCACTGGGACCATCCTACACAAGGCACCAACACTGTTCTATCACACCCATCCTCCATTCCTGATCAAAACAGAATTATATATATATAAACAGAAACTCACAAACCTACACACTTTAACCCCTGAAGACAACGGCAGCATGTACCCCCAAAATGTTGGCAACACTGTCCACAAATGCACTGTGTAAAAACACAAGAACAAATTAATAATAAAACTATTAAAACTCACAGTATTCAGTTTAGAGTAAGACTACTATAGATTCTGTTTATTCCGTTACAAAAGTGTCCTTTACCTACTGCTCTCCAAAAAATTTTTCATACTTTATGACGTGAATGTGATTTTAGAAGTGAAAAATATCACTAGGATAAGAGATATTCTTCACTCAATATATCACTTGTTGATATGCACGCACCCCGCACACGGCTGTCTTGACCTGTGGCATTACTGTTGCAGTAGCCATATCGATGCTGGTGAGAATCAAGCAATGCCGCAGCCAAGGTAGAGCTCGATGCAGTCGTACTACTTGGCTCAGGGCTACGAGAACTCAATGAAGTGCCTGCCAACACATGGGCAGCAACGATTCAAATGTGATGATGAAACTATCTACATATATAGGGTGCAAGGTGCATGCATGAGATTGGAACTTGGCTTAGTACTACTCATGATCATTATTGTGCATGCTACAAGTGAGTCAGATGTCTACAGCTGTGAATGTTAAGGACTGTACTTCCATTCATGTAACCATTCATAGCAGTGATTCCACAACTGGGTATCATGTGCACTTTGATGAATAAATTTATTTCATGTCAATTTCATTACAAAGAACAGCCTAAAAGTAGTGCTTGAAGTAAGTGACGAACCAAATTACTGAATAAAATGCAATGTGTGCATATAAAATGTACATAAGCTACTATGCATACTGAAGCAAACAGAAGAAAACCCCACAAGTGCCAAGTGTCAGAATTTTTACTCTTACAAACACTGCTATGTCTTCTTTACTGTTTTCATCCCAAAGGGGCTGTTAATGTGGCCATAACAACAACACTTTGTAAGTAAATAAAACTAACATTAACATGTTAATACTGTTTCATTTTCTACACATGTTTCGATCGGTGTGATTATCATCAGGTGATTACACTAAACACATAACTGCCATCACTGAATTGCTGGACTAATACAAATCCATATTAGTGAACACTGTGAATTAAATATCAAATTTCTTAACTTTGGGTGTGTATTTTTGACTTTCCTGTGATATGATAAGGTTAAAAGTTGAGAACTAAAATGTTAATTATTAAAAGTGGTTGAATAAAATTGATAAAACAGAGTAGAATACAATATATCTCTGTGATATGATTTGTCAGGTTTTCCTTGAGGTTTGCCTGAAAATAGAAGAGAACCTGTGTGTGTGTGTGTGTGTGTGTGTGAGTTGTAATTTTTTGATATCATGGGTGGCTACTTATGTCTTGTATAGATGTGTAGTACCTAGTCAGCAGTAGCCTTGTCTATTGTAGATGTGAATTAGTAGTGGATTTGGAAGTTCATACTGTAAATAAATCAGGTGATTTTATTAATTGGCATTCATAATTTCTTTGTATATTTTGTATATGTTTTGGGGGTTGATTTATTTTGTTTCCACACAGGAATTAGTTTTTACTCATGTGATTAGATTGAATATGTAGATGTGATGCAGTTTTGGTGACTTTCCATAAGTATGTTTTTTCTCTTCAATATATATAGTCACCTACCCAACACATGACAACTGGTGTCAGAATTGGTTTACAAACTTCAACACACCTCGACAAATAATCGAATTTATGAGTACATCAAGTGTTATCCTGCAAAAAAGCAAATGGACTCACAGCAGAAGATGGAACTCCTGCAGCGTGAAGTTATTTGTTGCATCACATACCCAACATGTGACAATATCATTAGTTATTCTGATTATTCAATATGTAGAGGGGGTGGAAAAATAATGGGAACACTAACAAACTGAGGAATAGAATTTGTGTTGGCTATATTGAAAGAACTTCAGTTGGCGACAGTGAATGTTCTTCTTCCATTTGTTTACACTCAGTAGTGCTCATGTCAGTGCATTTGTGATTACGCTGGGTGACAGTCCATGTGAAAGAACTGGAAAATGGGAGAACTATCTGATTTTGAAAGAGGAAAGATCATTGGTGCATGTTAAGGCCATGCCATAGCTCAGGCAGTTAGTCAGTCGCTGGCTTCCTATCATGGCAGTGCAGGTTCGAACCCAGGTAAGGTCATGTGGTATTTGTGGTGGACAAAGTGGCACTGGGGCAGGTTTTCTCTGAATACTTCAGTTTCTTCTGCCCATTGATTCCACCAAGTAATCCACAGTCACCATCATCTATCATCTGGGGCTGGTACAATAGGCAAATAGTGGCCACAGTAAAAAGTGGACTCGGTCTCACCGCACTAACAACAACAACAACAACAACAACAACAACAACAACAATGACATTGTTATTACTATTACTATTATTATTATTATCATCACAATCTGTTTCCTAACCAAACTTATGATTGGTCAAGTGTGTATGAAACCTCTTATGTTGACGTAGCAGTCGCCAGCTTCAGTGTTGCTGTCAGAAGTGCCATGGAGCAGGCAATTCCTTGTGGGTATTGCTGCAAGTCTAAATTCCCTCACTGGTTCTCCTATACCTTAAGGTATTACATCACCAAGAAAAATTGTTTCCACCGTCATTTTAAAAAGAATCCTAATTCTTTTAAGACAGGTTCGCCTATTATCGAAAATTAGTTAAAAACACCACCAAGTTCGACAGGCTTAGGTGGTTGAAGTCAGTTGATAACAATTTAAAGTCACAGCCCCAATATTTCTGGAAATACGTGTCTAATTTCAGAAAATATAGATCCAGTTCCATTCATCTAGAAGTAGATGGTACACACCTAGTCCAGCCCGAAGCTGTTGCTGATGCATTCGCTAAGCACTTTCAATCTGTTTACAATAACCACTGCTGTAAGGTCATTCACCCTCTCTCATAATCTTCTGAATTTTTATCCCTTGCCCCCATTTCTGATGCCAATGTCTACAAAGCCATCAATATACTAAAACCATCAAAATCTGTTGGGCTTGACGGTATTCCTGGTTTTATCATCAAAGGTTGTGCAGGTATTTTTATTCCTATACTTAGGCATATATTTAACTTGAGCCTGACGCAGCAGTATTTTCCTGCTGCATGGAAAGAATCTGCTGTTGTACCAGTATTTAAAAGAGGCAATCATGCTGCTGTGAGCAACTACAGGCCTATTTCTATTCTCAGTAATTTATCTAAATTGTTTGAATTCATTATTCATGATCATGTTTCTCATTTCACTAAATTTAATTCTAACCAACATGGCATTACCAGAACTAAACATACAGTTACCAATTTGGTGACGTTTCTCAACTTCTTGACACCTGTTGTCCGTGGTCAGCATCAAGCTGATGCCGTCTATTTTGATCTTTCTAATGCTTTTGACCTCGTCCCTCATAATATGCTCTTGCATAAATTAAGCTCCATCATATTCTCTGATGCTTATGATAGCTGGTTTCGCAGTTACTTAGCCAACAGACAATCACGGGTTTGTGTTTCTGGCACTCTCTCCCTGCCTTTTCATGTAACGTCTGGTGTGCCACAAGGCTCTGTTCTGGGGCCTTTTCTTTTCAACATATTTATAAATGACCTATGCGACTCCGTTAACTACTGTAAATTTCTAATTTTTGCTGACGATCTAAAGATTTTCCGCATTATTAACTCTCCACATGATTGCCTCTTACTTCAATCTGACATTAATTCTGTAAGTGACTGGTGCACTGCTAACTACATGAAACTTAATATTGCTAAAACGTGTGTTGTATCATACACCAGAAAAACAAATTTTCTGAGCTACAAGTATCAGCTTTGTCATGCTATCATTACACACACCAGCAGTATTAAGGACCTGGGTATTTTCTTTGATTCAAAGTTACATTTTCACACACATGTTAATTACATATTTTCTGAATGCATAAAACTTTTAGGCTTTATTCGCTCCATTACCTACAGGTTTTCCTCCCTGGAGAGTCTGTACATACTATATTTTACTTTAGTCAAGTCCAAGTTGGAATATGCCTCAATAGTTTGGAACCCCATCACCTCGACTGATGCCAATAAGCTTGAGCGCATCCAGCAGAAGTTTGCGTCCATCTGTTTTTATCGATTTTCCCTTCATATTTCATATAATTATACTGATGCTTTAGAGAAATTAAGTCTGCAATCTTTACATAAATGCAGACATCACCTTGATGCACTTTTTCTTGTTCAGGTCTTTCATGGAATCATTGTAGCTTCTCCGTATTGCTTGGATACCTCATGAATATCTTGGGGAGCTTGTAAACACAGCAATAGAGCTAGTGACAATGGGCTGCTTCTCCCGACTTCACGGCTCTAATAAGTAAACTGAGAGAAGAAGGGGCAGGGGCGGTTCAAATGGTAGCAGAGCGTGGTTAAAATTTTGAGAATTTTTCTCTTGTGGTGTCCCTGTCCTTAGAGTGAGAGCGTATAATTTTGGTGTACGTATTTCTGGAACGGGGTGTCACTGGCTCTGTGTGTGTGTGTGTGTGTACTGCTAACTGTACTGAGACTTGTGTTGTTGTGTTTCATGCTGGTACGACATGTCGCTAGCCCGGATCTATGACTTATGCAAGCAGCAAGTGAAGGAGTTGGCCAGTCAACTGGGTCTGTCTACCAGCATAACTCTGGATGATTTGAGGAAATGGGTTAAGTGGAAATCTACAGCCATCAAACCCTAGTTGCCTTCTCAAAGTGCAGCTAATTCTTCATTAGTTTCGAAGCCAGTTCAGCAAAATATTGATACTTTTGTTCATCAGGGAAATTGGTGACTGATTTAATTTTGGGCATTCCTGTGCTGTTGGGTACTGACCCGGAGGAAATTCTGAAATTCCTGATTCATGCGAAGGATGTTTTCGACTTGGAATTAATCTCTGATTCCGAGTTTATGGCGCTTCTGGTCAGTAGAACATCAGGTAGGATTATGCAAATCCTTGGAGCTCGTTTAGGAAATACCCAAAATTGGGGTATGATTCGATCAGAGATTATCTCCACTTTAGCATCGTATGTTCTTGAGTGGTTTCAATCTTCGGGGGAAGATCTGAACAGTTATGCTATTTCAGTGGTGGCGTCGCAAGTTGAATGCTTCAATTGCGACTTGAAGGTGGCCCTGATTATTTATCACAACTCTCAGCACACTTAACTGTAGTTATGACATGAAAGTAGTCGATAAATCCGATTACCAATCCGAACACTGCCTTTAGTCACTAATACACGCAACAATATTCTACCACTTATGCTATGCAACAGGCATTCTCATGAATCATCTTGGCAAGCAATAATGGCACTGCTTCACTCCTGCTTGCATTTTGTGGGCTTGGAGATCAGTAAATCTGAAGTAGATCTTTTATGATTGGAAACAAAATTAAGTTCACTGACTGCAGAATGGCTGAGTAGGTGGACTGCAGTCTTTTACAAACACATTATTGTGGCAGATGAGTAGGTATAATTATTGTCATGAAGCCTCAGGTATGCTTTTGGCCACATTTCTTGAGGCTTCTTGATCTCTTAGATTAGGCAGATTCTTCTGTAATATTGCACAGTAACATTTTATTGACTTTGTTGAAAAGAAAGAAGCTACAATCTTCTTTCTACCACTTCTATATCTTTTCACTTTCATGGAGGAAGGAGGTATCATTGTTAAACATCTGTATCACTGCCTGGCATTTTGTTTCAGGCTCAAATTCTCATGTCACTGCCCGTGACAATACCAAAAACTGGGAGAGAGCCACCATTATGAAAATGCAAATTCGATGGCATCATTCTAACTACATCTGTTTCAGGCCTTCTTTTGGAATGAGAGGCACCCACTGACACTAAATCTTCCTCATGCTGATTTACTGATGGCAGCACCACCTGGTGAACTGGTTGTCTCTCTATATTAATCATAAGTCATCATTTTTCATCACAGTCTTCAAGCAAGTGATGGTTTCTTCAGTGAAAACCACTGTTACTTGTCTGCTAGTGAGTCATTTCAGTTGCTATTACTGAAAAACGCTTCAGCAATGCAAAGAACAGAGCCAAACACTGCAACAGAGCTCGTTTTGTAAGTATCCATTCATCTAAGGTTAATGCTTATAGTCTGTACTTCCTACCTGATGAGCGATTTGGACCTGGACAGAAGGGCGATGTGGCTTGAACTGGAGAATAAACCTGTGCTGTAAACTCTTCAAATGTTGTAGCATCCTTGTGGTTACGGACCACTGTCTCCAAAGACTTAGCACGCTCTTCATAACTGTAAAGAATCACAAAAATATGCTGATCATGCATTTTTTCTCCTCAAAATAGAAAGCTAAAATATGAGGAATAAAATAAAACAATTACTGCTTTTACACGGAATTAACCACAATAACTCCATGGTGCACAGAAATTCTTGGAAAGCTAACAGTCATGAAGCTTGTAAACCCCTTCCACTTACAGAACTGATTCTTTACCATGTTTTATTAGAGCATGCCACTTTCACAAAGGATACTTTCCTCTAAGCTGATCTGTGTGTGTTGTCCTTTCTATGTTTCAACTCAATGTTCAGCAAAAACTTCTGGAAATGAACTTAATATGCCTAATTTTGTTTAAATACTCCAATCTGCAGTAAACACCTAACTCTCAAGCATGTATGGGGGTTGGGGTGTGCCCATTATATGAATCTCCCACCTGCATGGGAAAAATTCTTACAGAAACCCAACTGTACAGTTTAGTAAAGAAGTCCACAGAATATTAAACATATGGTCAAAAAAGACAATCAAGAAGAGTGCATTGTGGACTGATAGTTCAAATATTTCATATATAGGAGTTCGACCACTTTTGCCTGCAATACAGCAGCAATTCTTCTTGAAATGGACTTGTACAAAGTTTGAACAGCCTCTAGCCGAATTTTATTTTATTTTTCTTGAAGAACATGTTCAAATTGCCTCAGGGATGCTGGAGGTGGGAATTTCTTCCTCAATCTAGACTCTGAGACTGACCAGAGTGGTTCAATAATGTTCAAATCTGGCGATTGTGCTGGCCATGGAAGATGCTGAAGTCCTCCTTCATGCTGTTCAAACCATGACTGAACAGTCTGGTTGTGTGAATGTATTGCTGTTCAGAAATGTCTGGCTCGTGGGATGCACCAGATTACCCAACCTGTTCATGTACTCCCTTGCAGTAATTCAGCCATAAAGGGTAATAACAGGACCAACAGAATATTGTACCATGATAACCTTCCCTGTGTTTCACTGTTGGAACCAGGCATTCCAGACTGTAGGCTTCCTTGGCTGTTTTCCAAACGTAAATTCTTCCTGATAAGGGAACAGCATGAAGGATGAGGCATCTGACTCTATCACACATGCATTTCCAGTTGTCTGATATCCAGGTTTTATGGTCACGACACCATCGTTTATGTATCTGAGCATTACTTTCAGTAATCAGAACGTTAGCAATTGCAGCCTTACTGTGCATGTTGGATTTGTGACACTCACGTCGGACAGTTTTTGTGAAAAAAAGGGGCTTCAAGATGAATATTCAGTTGTGTTGCAGTAGTTCTGTGACTTTAAAAAAAAATCATTGTCAGTGTTGATTTTTGCCCACTGTTCCTCTTCGCTGATGTTATCTTCCCATAATTTTTTATTTTAGCGTCCTGTTGCACTGATTTTCGTCGATGATATGAATGTAGTGTCTGTCTTTTAGTGCACTCAATTTCACTTGTTATTTCACAACGTTTCGGCACTATAGTGCCATCATCAGGTGCTCCATTTATGTTAATCTATTTCACTGCTTGCCATTATGTCACTGTAAAATTTAAAAAGTACTTAAAAATGAGTCGCATATGCAAACATAACCTTAAAAACTGTTGCTATTGATACGCCTATTAATGGTGCAGTTTTGTCACAGATGCTCCTGCTAAATGCGCAACAATGATCTGTCAACTTTATCACTACAGAGTGTAAACAAATGGAAGAACATTCAGTGTTGCCAGCTGCAGTTCTTTCAATGTAGCCAACACAAACAAATTTTATTCCTCAATTTCTTAGTGTTTCCATTATTTTGTCCACCTCCTGCATAATGCAACGCAACTACAAATAATATTAGTCTCTACTTTACTGGTAAATGCATGAGATAGGACATTGGGTAGTGCTATAGTTGTGGGTAGGAGAGCTACTGTATGGCAAATGAACATCCGCATATTAACTTTTTTTTTTAAGTTTATTTTTATAAGATATATAACCACAAAAATATCAGTTAATAAATCAAAATTTGCTTACAACCAGTCTTCCCACTAAACTTCGTAAGAAATGATTCGTTACACTAAGAAACAAAAAGCTAAATATAAGAATTCACATGGGTGTTATGCTTTACATTCCGAAAGTAAGTAAATAAATAAAACCTTTGATAAGGATGAGTATTTTTCGAAGACATGCTACTGCAGTTCAAATTTCAAGAAGTTACACATAAAACAATATCCTTTATCACTCATGCATCAAATACATTTGTTTATCAACGCTAATGCCATTATAAGATTTAAATACATTATTCACAATAAACTCTTACACTGAAATTCAAAGATGTACCAGCAAATTTAAAATTCATACTCATAGATGATAAAGGTTATATGACATGGATGCACCTTCCAATCTTGTGTGGCTACCAGGTTGGTATTACACATGGTAGAGAACGTAAAAGTAGGAAAGTGGGATAGTCTTCAATGGCATGCAGTTTTTACAGAGTTTCATGAAATTCTATCAAATGGCTGAAGTTATTACAGTGAGTGAGACATGTAGATGTTATGATACCAAGGTGAATTATTTCTTATAAAATAAGGAGGTTAAAAACAGATGAATTCTAAACTCTGGTGTTGCCTTCAAAATGAATGTGACTTTTTGTGTGCTGGAAAAGAAAATTAAAATATACTTCATATAACACTTCAAAACTAAATTTATCATGCCTCGTTATTATAGAACATTGTCACTTACTAGTTCTGGTAGAAAGGCAGCATGCTCCTCTTTGCTCTTGATGCACCGATGGCTGATGCCCGCACCAGACCAGGCAGAACCTTATCATCTACAATTGACTCATTAAATAATGGACCAAAGTAAGGAACCTAAAACAAATTCAACAACTTTATGTCTTCATACTTTTCAGGGGGAGAGGGGATGCACGTGTACACACACAAATTGAAAGGTTCCCAAAATGCAAGAAATTATCATTAAGACTATCTGTCTTACTGTCTTCACATGGGATTTGTAGAGCAATTTAACAATATAAGCTTTATATCCATGCATTCCCAGAGGATCTAATCTAAATATACAATATATACTGTATATTTATTTATTTATTTACAGTTTAATGATACTGTCAGTACTTTGGACTGTGTAACATTGAGTGAGGAAAACAACATAAATATCAAGTCAGGATAGTCTGTGTGCCAGTTGAGATTTTAACCTGACACCTCCAAATCAGAACTGTCACACTTTGATCTAATTTGCTGAATATGTAGAACGTTTTAATTACATGGTTAAATAAATCGAGTTACATTTCATGTGTATCTCTTATATATCACTCAATTCTGAGGCTGCCTTTCCATTCAGAATTTTGCTCTTGAGCACAGAGACTGGAATAGAATCTAACAAAAAAGACGTGAGTTGTGGCTAGAAACCTGTTACAGTAGCTTCTCACTCTGTTGTTTAGAAACAGAGCTCTACTGTGCTGCCTTGCTGATACCATATGAGAAACAAAAGCCGAAAGGTACATTCAAATTTTCAATTTGTAACACTGTCCAAATTTTACTAAATTCACCAATAATCTGATTTTAGTTTATTGTTGGTACAAATTTTATAATTGGATAATTACAATTTGATTACCTTTCATATCATTAAATGTGTCATCTTACTGATTAAATATGATGATACCTCTGTGAAATAATTTGATTTGATAACTGTGTGGTTGTCAACATGGGGTTGTCCTGAATGGCACCCCTCCCTTCACGGAACAATTTCACCCATCGTGCGACTGTGTGATAAGGCAAAGCAGCATCACCACATGCTTTTTGCAGTCCCTGACAACAGTTTTGTGCACTATGACCTTGTGCAACTTCAATTTTTATCCAGGAGCATTGTTCTTGTTTTATAAACATGTTCTTAGGGCACTTGAACTGGGCTCCTGCACTTCAAGACAATGCACAATGCAACTCAATGAAATAACCAGAGCCACTTACTGCACTACTTCAACTGAACTTCTGCTATCAGCTACAGACAATGCTAGTGCCACATGATGCACATCTTTTATGTTACAGCAGTGTTGCCACTACTTTTTATCCAACTCTTGTATTAAGGCCAAGAAAGAAGCCACTCAGGGGAAGATGGAGGCTCTTCCAGAAGAGATAGGGGCCATTCAAGTAGAACTAAAAGCCAGTCGAGAAGAATGAATGCAAGTCAAAATGAGATGATGGCCATGACAGAGGTCAAGATGAAGTCACATCCAGAAAGGATGAAAGCCAATCAAGAAAATAAAGAGACCATAGCACAACACTATTACCAGGCCCCATGTATAAAAGCCATGCACCTTTCTACTGCTCTGCTGGGCTGGGCTGGGCTTCTAATGTCTTACAGAGTCCCTAAAGAAGTGATCTGCATGGAGACTATTGGGGCAACTGAGGACTAATTTGGTAAGCTGGTCTCATCATACTGCACTCAGTTGAGAAGAGGAACCCAAATCCTTGGTGAGCCCTTTATGAGTTTTCCATGGCCATCAGACAGCCAACCCACCATGGCTCTGCTGCACTATGTGAGCACCACAACTAGGCAAGGTATTCAGCAATAGCATAAGTGAGCAAGACACAAAACAGCAGCTACTTCTGGGAAGCAAGAGATCTGCCTCTGACTCCAAAAAAGCAAGTTACAAAGCAGGGTGGAGGAATCGGTCCCTCCCAAACAAAAGAACAGACTACCAATGCCTTACATGGTGGCATTGCAGGAGCACCATCCACTCTTGAAAGCTCTGTCCCCACAGGCTGGAAAAATAAATGGTGATACATCTATGGTCTACTTGGGACGAGCAGCCTTAAGAAAAAAAGCAATGCAACAGGTGCACACAAAACACAGAGAATGACTTCAACTCTGACTTTTACTTTTTAGAGCGATACCACAAAGATGACAATGAATTTCTCAATCACACTGTATGGGTAACAGGTGATGAAACCTGGGTTCCATTTGGGAAAGTTGAAACCAAAGAACAGTCAAAGCAGTGGATGCACACACATTCACCAAACAAGGCAAAAAAGTATAAACAAATGTTGTCTACCAGAAAGCTGATGGCAGCTCTTTTCTGGGAATGGAAAGGAGTGTGATGGTGGAATTTGTGCAACAAGGGACCACAATAACATCAGACATGTATTGTGAAATGCTAAAATATTGTGTAGGGTTATTCAAGACACAAGACATTGAATGCTGACATCCGGTGTAATGCTCTTCCATGACAATGCACATCTGCATATGGCTGCTGATCTCGCTCCGAGTGACTACCGCCTGTTTACCTACCAGAAGAACTGGTTGGAATCACAGAACTTCAACAGTAATGAGAAGTTGACAGAAGGTGTCAAGAATGTGGCTGAGCTCACACTCGGCAGATTCTGACACAGGCTTACAAAAACTTATTCCTTGATACAAGTGCCTTAATTCTAGCTTTAAGAAGCAGCTTAACTTATGTACATATTTTTTATATAATAAAATTGTTTTCTCATTGCTTCTTTCGTTAATAGCTCACTGGAGGTTACTTTCTAAAGAGTCCTTGTGTTTCTCCAAACCAAACTTGCAACAACTAACAATCAAGTTTCTTCCGTCAAATGTGACACTTTTTTAAGTTTTCCCCCTCGTAAGCACACAAGCATCACAACACACAGACAAGCAACATCAACTACCGACAGACAACACACGCCAACAACATCCCGAAGCAAAAAGATTGGGCCAAGCGGGAAAGAATTCTAGGGATTTTAAGAATTCTTACTTCAAATAACGAAACATAATTTTACAGAATTAACGACGAATCAAATAAGGAAGCTACTGTGGTGTGTGAAAAACTTTTAGTGAACCGACATTCTGGGTAATTTTAACTATTTGTAATTATTTTAATTAACTGGAACGTGGCTATCTTGGACAAAGTGAAGTTTTGTGTGTTGGTGATTTCTTTTTCTACTATAAATGCCTCTGATGATGGCTCCGTGGTGAGCCGAAACATGTAAGGCAGGTGCTGACGAGGTGGAAAACTTAAAAAAGAAGCACACAAGCATCACAACACACAGACAAGCAACATCAACTACCGACAGACAACACACGTCAACAACATCCCGAAGCAAAAAGATTGGGCCAAGCGGGAAAGAATTCTAGGGATTTTAAGAATTCTTACTTCAAATAACGAAACATAATTTTACAGAATTAACGACGAATCAAATAAGGAAGCTACTGTGGTGTGTGAAAAACTTTTAGTGAATCGACATTCTGGGTAATTTTAACTATTTGTAATTATTTTAATTAACTGGAACGTGGCTATCTTGGACAAAGTGAAGTTTTGTGTGTTGGTGATTTCTTTTTCTACTATAAATGCCTCTGATGATGGCTCCGTGGTGAGCCGAAACATGTAAGGCAGGTGCTGACGAGGTGGAAAACTTAAAAAAGTGTCACATTTGACGGAAGAAACTTGATTGTTAATTGGTTAGTGTGACGGACCAGAATGAAAGACCTTAAACTTGCAACAGTTTCCGAAAATTTCAAAGAAAGCATAAATAAATTACAGGTATAAATTTAAAATAATTATATTTCCTAGCCATGTGCCACAGTATTTAAATTCTTAAAAAGACAATTACCACTTTGTCTTGACAAATTAAAACTGCAGAATTTTACAATATAGACACTCTTATCACCTCCATCAGAATCTCTCATTAGTCAACATCTTTCATGAAAATGATGACAGCTACTGACAAGAGAGATTACAGATGGCAGATCAATCTAACAACAGAATTATCAAATCTGCATCCAACATGTGTTATGTGCTAGCCACACACCACATAAGCACAATCTCATACATTATCATCATGATTCATACCACATACAGAAATGTACTGGCAAATTTTCTGATAAAACTTACTTAAAAAATCAATCAAGCTTGACTTGGACATCATGTAAAATAGTGTTTATATTTAATCAATATGGCTTAAAATTAAATTTGTTCAGCAATCTTTGGTGTAAACCTTAATACCAAGTCAGATCAGAATTCAAGCAGCAGTTTCAGAGAAAAATAAAACGCAAATAGAGAGAGATATGGACAGCCACACAAGCAGTTATGTAATCATTTTATGTAATTTGTGTAAAGGACACATAAAAGGAGTTCCTTACTGCCATTACATTTCAGTGCAATTGCATGTGGCATTACCTAAACTGCTTTATGGACATGGTAACCCAAGGAGTACATAAAGTAAATAATCACATACCTCGGACTTTCGAGATACCTGGACACGGTACAGCCTGTTAGGAAGGGGGTAGATAACAATAAGTACATCACAGAATTCAGTTGGTATGATACCACGTCTATAATCACGGGAGTGCTCTGACCACACAATGTGTACTTCATCATTTCCCAGGTGACGTGTCTGTAACAGAAATAATCAGTTTTATAAAAGCCGAACTCTTAAGACGGGGTCACACCAAGAAAACTGGCAACAGCAAAGCAACTGCAATATCCAAGAACGGTTATCAGCCTGAGCTGAACACATGTTACTGAACGGAGCAGTACAAATTGAGGAAATGGCAATGCAATGCCACCCAGACTATGCCAGGCAGGACAAAACAGATTTGGCTTGGGAAAGAATTTCTCATGAGATGAAGGAGTCTGGATCCAGGTTAAGTTCTTTTGAAACAATAAAAGCACCTCAGTTTAAACTGCCATGGAACAGAAGCACCCAGTGTTTTCTTTTCTTATATTGTATTTAAGCATCCTGTTACAATAATATATCATTTATTTCCCATATAATTCCATCTTAAACACAACTTATTATACAGTCACCCTTCTTCCACAATACATGGTTCGGTTATATATGTATGTCTGTAAGGGGTGGGCCATAAAAATCGGCCCCTGCACTGCGACCTTCAATAATCTATTGTGCTTTTTGGTTATATATGGCCATCATCAGATCTTGCTAAAATTGTTGCACTGTATGACAAAATTTCATATTGCATGTGAATGTGATATTTTTGTATTAAAATAAATTGACATTAATTAACATCCCAATATTTTCCTTACGGTCATCATCCTCTCTTCTCAAGCCATCTCAACCAGTCTCAACTACACCATATTATGACAGGATCAGTATTATTATCTTCCGTTGCAGAAGCGCATGATATTAAAAAATACAATCATGCATTACGTCGGAAGAACGTACCAACTTAAGATGATGTGAGCCACTTATCAAATGTAAGTTTCTTCAGTGTGTGCCCGCTAATCTCGAAACCAGTTGCCTGCTTCAAGTAGGTAATTTTTCTTGGAAATTGCTGTTGCATTGCAGTTGCCAGTTTCCTTGGTGTGCCCTCACCCTTAGGCAACATTTCAGTTTCATTACTAAAGAAACTAAACTATTCAAATGACCACAGCAGTTAATACAAATTGTCTATAAAGACCTCAGCTAGAGTAGGGAACTGTCAAACATTCCACTGAACTTTCAATGGCATTTCACTAGTACTGACAGACATATACGTGCATATACACGTACTGTGTTTCAACAGAACTTTTCAAAGAACTATAAGTAAAATTCAATTAGTCAGTTGGGTGAAGTGGCTCTTGAAATAAACTGAGTACATGACATTTATTCATGATAACATTCATATTCTTGTAACACAACTGCACATTTTATGTTTCACAAAATCTGGCACAATGATTAGAAAGGTATATATGCAGGCTGAATTACACACTTACATACTGACACTTAAATTAGTTGACATTAATAAAATATGCACATGCTAATATTCACATAATAAAGCTCAATATATCAAATTTCTTCCTGTGAGGAGGCAGGTTAAAATACTTCACAGTTGGGTCATAGAAAATAATGAAAAGTGAACCCACTTCCTGGGGTATAACTGGGCCACTCCTGACACTGGAAGACATAAATAGAATGACCTAGTCCTTCAGGTTTGACGCATGGCTGATGAAACTGCTCCATAAAAAATTACCATTGTGAAATCCAAGAACATGAAAACAGAATGATCTAATTCATGACAACCTGTGGAACTAAATAAGGACTTGAAAACAGGCACGCGGAATGTCTTATCACTGTATATGCCCAGAGCACTTAAAATTTTATTCAACCAGCTAAACATATTGTGACATGTAACTCCACTGCTAGACAACACACACGTGGCCAACAATAGTGGAGTAGTGTTTTCTTTGTGTCCGTGGTGATATCACTCAACAGTGGCCAGCAGTCAGCGTGGTAATGAACTGGCTAAATAGCAATCATATAGTAACCCTAACAGAGGCATCACACAACAACAGAAGAAGCTGTGTTTTCTGTGTGTTCATCCATTCTGCAGCTATATAATGTGAATTCACTTGTGCAGTCAAGAGTCAAGAGAATGAGAATATAACAGCATACAGCAGTTCAATTGTCAGTAAGAGATAGTGGCAGGAATTTCATAGTTGAAGAAGAATTAGAAGTCGATCTGTGAAGTCTCAATGTGTGATTAGAAGATTTAGTCATTGTGAGACTGTTTTAATTCTGTTATCAGGAGATGACTGGTGAAGACTGAGAATCCTAGTGTATATGTAACGGTGAAGATAAAGATACTGGAGTCAAGGAACAGTTCTATGATGATCTTCAAAGAGTGTATGACAATACCACAAAACATATGTATTTATAGTTGGGGACCTAAATGCTAAGACTGGCAAAGAACTAGCCTACTCTCATGTATCTGGAGTGCACACTTTGCATGACTTTCCAAACCAGAATGATAAAATGGTGTGCAACTTCGCAATTCAGAATAATATGATCATCATCATCATCATCAGCATACAGCACCAACATAAAATAATCCATAAAGGTACTTGGAGAACTCCTAATGGAGCTACAGTCAATCAAATAGATCATGTACTCATTAATGCAAAGAAAAGGAGTGCAGCTGAAGATGTCAGATCAACGTGTGGACTAAACTGTGATTCTAACCATTTTCTCGTTAAAAAAGCAATTAAGCAAAAATTCAGTACCACCCCAGGAACTGGAACAAGAGATAAGAAAATAAGGAACTCTGATAATTAAATAAATCAGGCTAAACTTAGACAATATAGATCAAATCTACACAACAAGCTTCACAATCTAAAAGTAGATATAGAGAAAGAATGGGAAAATATTAAAAAAGCTATCAGTGAAGCCGCTACAGAAACCACTGGAATCCAGCAAAATCATCTGAGAAATGAATGGTGGGATGAAGAATGCAGATCAATAATAAATGAGAAAAACATAGCAAGAAAAAAAGGGATGCCAACAAAGTGTGTACACAAAATCTGGCTAAAAACAAGATTAGGCAGACAGAGGAAGCACACAAAATATTGCAAGGAAGTTCTTTAAAGATAGCAAGTCTTTTCAAAGAGGGAAATCTACAGGTGCACTGGTCTGTAAGGATGAAAATGGAAAATTAAACTCTCAACAAGAGAGAATATTAGAGAGATGGGAGCAATATTTTAGAACTTTAATGAAGACAGACAAGAAGTTTGAAGGTAATAAAGGAAAAGAAATCTTAGAGGTAGATGAAAATATATTACCTCCACCAACTTACATAAAAATAGACAACATAATAACCATTTCAAAATTGAAAAAGGCTACAGGGACTGATAACATTCCCTTGGAACTAATTAAACATGGAGGAAGTACACTGAAGCAAAGACTGTACAATCTAATTCTGTTAATATGGAATAAAGAAGAATTACCTAAGATTGGATTGAAGGAATTATCTGCCCAATATATATATATGAAAGAAGACCGTACAGAATGCTCCAACTATCAGCCAATAACCCTTCCTAATAGAGCCTATAAAATATTTGTAGTTCTATTAAATAATCTGTTTCCTGAAATAGTAAAAGAAAAACTATGAGATGTGCAAATGGGTTTCAGACCAGAAGATCTGCCGTAGATAACATATTTATTATTAGACGAGTTTTTGAAAAATCTCATGAGTACAATATTAAACTGCATAATATATTTATTGATTGTACACAAGCTTTTGCCTCAGCTGACGGATGTACGATAAAGTATCAGAGAGCCTAAAATATTATGATGTGCCAATAATATTGATTAGTTTAATAACACGGATACAAAAGCAACAGTGAACGTCAATAATGAGTACTCTAGTAAATCTGAGGTATACAGGGTGTAGAACAAGGAGATTCTTTGTCTTCTACTCTCTTTAGCTTAGCCATAGACATAACAGGAAAGCTTGATACTAGGGGAAAAGTCTCTAACCAACTGAAACACTGTAATGCATATGCAGATGATATTTTAATAACTGCCAGAACTAAACAGGCCATGATTGATGCTTTTAACAAATTAAAGAGGGAATCCATAAAATATGAATCAGTAGTCAATGAAAAGAAAACAAGGTACATGAAATGCACCAGAAGAAAACAATATAAAATTGATGATTTAGAGACTGGAAATTTAAAAATAGGTCAAGTCAGATGATTTAAATATTTTGGGGCAATAGCTAATGAGGATACTTCAACAGAAGAAGATATTAAGGGGAAAACAGCACTAGGAAATAAGGAATATTACTCATTCATTTTCATTTAATTATCATTCAACAATCCATACATACAGGTATTACAACCATTTGGATAGGGAAATTGTCAAACAAAAGTATGTTCCAAAGTAAATTAATTTCAAGAGGAACAAAATTTAAACTATACTGGTCGGTGGTCAGACCTGTAGTTACTTATGCCTGTGAAACCTGGGTACTGAGAGAAAGTGAAATCAATAAATTACTGGTTTTTGAGAGCAAATTTCTAAGAAAAATTTTTGGCCCAAGTGAAGAAAATGATAGCTGGTGAATGAAAACAAATTAAGAATTAAATCAGTTAATCAACTATAAAAATATAAACAATTTTATACATGCACAAAGACTCTCATGGCTTGGCCACATAGAGCAAATGCCAACCAAGAGATCAGTTCAAAGAATGTAGTCATGGAAACCATTAAGTACAAGACCAGTGGGCAGACCGAAAATACGATGGGAGGATGATGTTAAAGCTGACATTAAGAAGATGATGGTATCAGACTGGAAGATATCAGTCCAGGACAGGACCAAGTGGAAAGGTGTGGGTGTGAAGACCGAAACTCTATGCGAGTTGTAGCATCAAAATAGAAGAGAAGAAGAAAGTGAATGAATTAAAGTAGAGAATTCCTTAAATAATGTATTAATAACTTGACGCAGACACACAAGCAAGACACAAATAGGTGATATTCTGGCTGTTGTAACACTTTTCCTACACCACCACATGTTGAGACCACTCTGAGATTTGCATTCCTTGTATCAGAAAGGTACCACCAGACCATTCCTCCAAATGGCAGAGAAGCAACAGCATGAAAAGGATCACTAAACTCACTCTGGTGCTTAGGCACAGAATGCACTAAACGTTATAACCATGCCTTCAGCATATGTCCATTGCACACTGCTTAGGCACAGGGAAAACTTTACCTTCCACACATATGCACTATATCACAGGTAAAAAATTACAGGTAACAAGGATATGGTGCACTATTTACCTTCTGCAGCAAGGACTCCTGGCTAGAAGAGGGCATCCTAGTAGCTACGTGAAATATCACTTCTAGGAATGACGTAGCATAATATGGGGCAGTTTCTCCAGTACTTTTATTGCGTTGTAAGCCTCCCAAGAATCCTGTATGTGATTCCAATTCAACCTAAAATAAATAAGACATTAAGTCCAATAGACAGAAGTATGTTTTGTTTAATTGTGATTTATTTAATAATTGCTTTTAGTAGCTCAGAATAGTAGGAATAATGAATGATGACATGGATATAATATGGAAAGAAGTGTTAGTAGACAGCACCATCTGGAGAAGCTGAGGGAAACCAGAAGAATTTTCATCCGGGACAGTGTCCCAGCTGAGATTAAAATCAGTATAAAAACAAGTGAACTCTGTAGGCTTATTTCAGCTTAAAAAGATTTAAACCATTCAGAGTGGAAGACAAATAAGAATTATGGAGAAAGGCCAGTTTATAATGAAATCAGAATGGATGCTAACATTTCTCTATTTGAGGCACACTTTCATACCTCACATGTTTCTGTACTCATGATCAAAATCATGCTATATACCTGTATGCAAACTATACTGTCACTGAACAGTATATATATGTATTTTCAGTTTCCTTTCTTCCTTACTTATTTTTAAGTAAACGTATTTTGCACATATTGCACAGTTAGACCCAACGTTTTATATTTATGATAGGGAAGCTCCTTCTCAGATAAACTCCAGGAAGCACAGTAGAGAACAAAACAGAACATAATAATGGCAATGTAAACTCCTAGGTACTACCTCAGCATAGTCATGATATTCAGTGTCCCAGCTGAGATTCACTGGGCATGTTCCAAATATAAGTCAGAAGTGCTTGCTCCAAAAATGGTCCATCTCATAACTTCTATTTAGATACAATATTAAAAGAAGGGGAAAAGAGAGAGAGAGAGAAAAAAAGAACATGTGCATGCATAATTATTCTTTTTTTTAATGTAATTATCATGGAGGCACAAAAAAATCAACATTCTATATTTTTAGCATTACCTACACTGTGAAGATAAAGATTTTCTTATACTTGCATAAGGGCTTGCACTGCAACTGACCACAGGTTAAGAGCCGTCCTATACAAGCTTAAGTCCCACCCACTATCTGCCAAGGGCAAGCAGGTCCCACTCACATACCTCCCATAATCTGTACATGTATGTGTAAGAATAAACGGCGCAACAGGCACTGAACCTGTCTGATAGACATAACACATGAACAAATTAATGTTTAACCAAACCTTATGTAAAACATGCACGCTCTCTTACACAATATTTCTAAACACAGACAATGCACCACACACACTTCGTGCATACAGTCTTTCTTTTTTCTTTGAAATAGTGAAGCCACTGATTGAAACTGAAAGTTCTCAATATTTAAGCATGCCATGAAATGGCTGGATTTTGTCCCATTCTTGATGCATCAGCAAGCATGGTAGCCGATCTTGATTACAAGCACTCAAAGAGCATGAATTCCTAATCCCAATTCCCTGAGTTCCATGTCCATTTCTGTCACACAAACAACAGCTGACCAAAAAATGGTGAATAATGTTGAAGACATCAGTCCATATAATATTCCTATTGCATTCTTTGATGAGCCAGCGATTTCAGAGATGCATTACTTCAAGCATAATTATGGCTGAACACTTTTTAACTTATACAACACAAAGCAGTGACACAGTAATAAAAGAATTAACTCCCATTCACTTGTCAAATGTCAAATTATGCAGTGAAACAAGCTATTGGCCTGAAGATCAAGCTCAGATGATGTCAAATGATGGACATTTCTCACTAGTTAAAATATGCAGGAAGCTGTTAAGTCATGCTGATTGTTGCCTTAAAATTATCATCCCCTATTGTGACTATGTAATGTCCTGAAGTTGACCACTGTTTTACAGTCACATATTAGAATGGCTCTGTACAAACAGAGCTAAGCACTCCTGCTTCAAGAACAAGTAAATTCTCTCATATATTCTTGAATGTGGACAAGGAAGGGTAGACAGAGTGTGTTAACTTTCATCGCAAGTGAATAGTGGTTTGAAATCTCCCAGTACTATAGGGGGGGGGGGGAAA